GTATACACATATATACACCTGGGATCGTACACAATTTCCACGGCGGCAGCGGCGTTCGCGAAATCCGATTATCCCCGCGATGTTTCAGTAATTGAACGTGCGCCGCGAGCGGCTAGGCCGCAGCCAGAGCGCGCGCGACTTAAATGGTACGGAAGACCATCGTTATTCGATCTAAGTCACGAGCAGAAAATTAGATAGCGGCGGTGCGCCGCGCCGCATCTCCGCCTGCAGCTCGCTCGCAGTAGAACCGGTCAGTTATCGGATAGGCGCGGCGGGGACGTGCACCGCGCGCGCGGTCCGCTTTTTGCTCCTCGCGCGCTTAAATATACAAAAGGATCACTCGGCATAATGTGGAGCGAGCGGCGGGGAGGGAAAATCGCGGTGGGTGGTGAGGCGCGGGCACCTTCGCGGATGTCCCGAGCGAAAGAGACGGCCATTCGCTGCTCTATTCCGCCGGTATATGTATATCGGGTGATTTATAAAACGCGGCCAGCCCGTATCAGACGCGATCGGAATTGAGAATTGCGAATTCGAGATTAGAACTCGACCGGTCAGATAACTTTTATTTTAATCCGTTTCAGTCGGATTGATTGAATTCTAATCTCCATCTCACCAATCAGTCTTCAATGCGTAGTCTGATACAGGACTACTTTTCGAGCATTGTATGAGCATTTTACAGCGAGATACTCGCGAGATTGTTTAGTCTCGTACTGTTAAATATTAAAGACTCAAATTTAAACCAATTTCTTGAGTTAAATAATATTTTGATATTTTTTACTTTCATGTATGTCAAAATTTACTATTTTAACACAAAAATATTAAGTTAAAAAAAATAACTATATACAATCAAATCATTTCTATAGTTGAATTGCGTAGGTCTGCAGGTAAACAGTGTCTATATTAACATATGGACTGAATAATAAACTAAATTTAAATGAAATTTAATATTTTTTGAGTTAAATTGTTTAACTTCATTTTTTAAATTAATAATATGTTGAGTAGGAGCATTAGCGACCTAGGAATGATTTAAAGTGACTTCACTTGGATATAATTTGATATTAATAAATTGAATAGAACGAAAATTTAAGCGAATCTTTCTTTCGCAAGAAGTTGCAGATATTATTTCGTGGGTCTAAACACTGTTTGTGTTTGATTCTTCGTATTTTTATAGCGGAGCGTACCTCTTTAAAAAAACTTGACGCAGTTACTCCCGTCTCCCCAAATCTCGAGTCCATTTGTTCTCTCCTGTAGATTTCGCTAATGTTCTCTTAGACTTAATTACGGCGATATTTCAAACGGACAGAGAATCGCGCGTAGTGAAATTAGTTCGCGAACGTTAATTAGGCGTTATCTAACGTCGACCCGTATTATAAATTATAAATGAATCGCGTATCCCGTAAGCGGTGAGACTTGCGCGTGATATTTTTCGAAGCCTTCGTGGAAAAACGGGCAAAACAAATCAATCGACTGATGGCGTCCATTAGGCTATCCAGCTCGTTATCGTCATTTTTTTCAACTCGTTCAACTTGCGGATAACACTTAGCTAGGTCGGTAAGAATTATCGTGGGCGAGGGACATCGTCACATCTATTTTATAAGTCAAATCTTGTTTTGGTTTTCCTAATTGGTGCTACCAATTCGGCGCTGTAGATATCGGATGTAGCGAATGTGTTTTTATATTGCAAATATATACTTATACACGTAGTCAAGTGCCATAAATTCTGTTACTAAGAAAACTGAATTTATTTCGTAATTAAAAGAAAAAGCTACATAGGAAACTCGCTCTATTACATACAAAATGAAAATAATCATAACTATTAGAAATGCCCGCTTTTTAACTTTATAAATTTCTTTAAACTATTGTATTTTAAACCCTCACAGCACGCAAAATCTTGATGCTGCTGTCTTCGTCAGATCGGCTTTCAAAACTTCGATATTTTGGTGAGATTTAGAAAAAGTCTTTTCGTTTAGAAGGAAAAGGCGAATCTTTACTGAAAATCTTACTAAAATATCGAGATGCTAAATGTTGATTTAACGAAGACAACGTTGATACTCATTGAGATTTTGCGTACTGTGAGAGTTTGAAATCCATTTGAAAAAATTTGTTAAGTCATCAGTAGACACTTTTAATAGTTACGATTATCTTTATATTGTATGTTGTTCAATTCATAATAAAACGAGTATATATTGCATGTTGCATTTTTCTTTTAGTTAAGATTATAAAATAAATCAATTTTTTTTTAACAACAGAATTTGTTGCACGATTAAATATCATTATTGTGTATTGTATTAAATGTATTTTGCTGCTGATGCTTCTGGCAAACTTTCCGATCTGGCGAACTTCACGGCGGATCTTACATCGTCTATACACGATGGCCGACGATGCAAATTTACGTTCGCGTGCATGCATCTCTCTGTATGCGAGAGCGGTTAATACACGAGCGGCGGAAGAAGAGGTAGAAACACGGGAGGGATGGTCGGCAATTTTCATTGAAGATCGGCCGGCAAACTGGCAAGCGGTCGCACGGCCATCATTGTCGGTCAGAGGGAGGAACCAAGAAGAGGAGTACACACGAAAGTCGATCGAGAGAGGAAGCACTGGCGGATTCGAACGAGGGGAAAAACCGTGAATTTCAAAACGTTTAATTTAGTTAACGTTTGCGCGGTGCCAGTTTTAATTCGATCCAGGCCGCACGGAAGATCTCCAGAACACTGCTCTCAATTATGACAGAAGAATTGACAAACCGAAAGAACCGCATAATTATATTCACGATGTGGTTTAGAACTTTACAGGCGCAATAAAGATTATTTCGAGCTTGCTTTACGACTTTGGCCGCGAATTTTACCTTGAAATTTTCGCCCGCGGTGTTATCTTAGGATAGCCTCTCGGGACCGCTATTACTACTCGAAATTAAAGAGAGAGAAAAAAAAGAAGAGAAACGCGAGTCAGCTTGAGAATGGCCCGTTGACGTGCCATTCTCGTGCATTTCTCGTACACGCGCCCGTGCGTTTTTTTTCCTCCCCAGCACGGAATCCTTTCATCTCCAGCTAGACGTCTGTAATTGTCGTGCTTCTCTTTAGCGCCGACTCCTATCCCGCGCGTGTATTATACGTCATCATCTCGTCGTAGGCTCCTCAGACATCTGCGATTCTGTCTGCTCGCGTTTATTTTTGGGCGCCCTTCTCCCCGTCCTTCCCCTCCCTGCCACTCTTGTTAGATCTTTTTCTCGTTTTCGTGACACGTGCCGTCAAACCAGTTCCCGACACTTGCGGTCCACCGCGCAGTTCTGAGAAAATCGGACCTTCTAATACGTCACACGTTTACTACAAAAGTGTGACGTATTCTGCCGGTTCTCATGCGTTTGCCTCGTGGCGAACGTTTCTTTCTTTTTTTTTTCATTAGCCTGCTTTTTTTTACATGCCTCAGCCGTCAGCTGCTGAGTCACGATTATTTTCAGCGCCTTTTTATTATCCTGGGAGGAAGATTTTCCTGCATCGTGCCCCACTTTATTTGTGCGGAGACGGCCCAAAATTTTTTGTGCAAAAAATGCGACGGATCACACCGCCGTTTAATGCGTCGCGCGATTCGGCACCGTGAGACGCTTCTGTTTAAAGGCAGTAGATGATTCGAAATACTCCGATCGTCTCCTGTCAATCAACGTGTGATTTTATTTAAGTGCACTTGTGAGAGCATCACAATTAATTATTGCTCCATGCAATTTTGTTCTAAGTAGAATATAGATCTAGGAGAATATCTCGATTAATGATTAAAATAACGCGATAATAGTAATAAAACAATTGGATAATGAGGATGATGTCACTATATAGTTAATAATATTACAGTCCCAAGTTGTCGCGCCGCGACATGAGATTTTTTTGAATAAGTCGCGTATATATTTGTAAAATTCCACCTCGGGACTAATTGTAAATCTCAAGACTGAGAGCCTGAGAGAGTCGGGTTTTTTTTCCTCGCAGAACGTTTGCGTTATCGTTTAGGTATGCGGCCGTAATCATACGGTATTTGCGAAGGGATTTCCTAGCTCTCGCCAACGACGCAGATGTACAAGTCACTCCTGACTCCGCCGCTCCTCCGCTGCCGATCTCGTTCTTTTTGGTTCACCGCGCACGATGGTGACTCACGATTACGCGGCGCGGTAAAACCGCGTCTCGTTTTTTTTCCCCCCTTTCTTTTTTCTTTCGTCTATCCTTTTTTCTCCCTCCACCGTCGGCCCTTTTTATCGCGCCAGCACCGCGATTTCACGGTGCCGCGCTCGCGACAATTAACCCTTTCACCGTTGAATTGCGCGACGAATGTGGCAGCTGTGCTCCCTGCGAGAGTATCCCCGATGTTTGATCGCTCAATATCTCCGTCGTGTTGCAAAACGTGCAATTACTTAGGTCGTAACAGGTGCGACAACCGTGTCCTGATCGGGTACCTACACGGAAAAAGATTTGAAGATTTATTTGATGGGATAACGAGTTGTAACATCGAGAGCTCTACTAAAATTTTATTTGTGTAAAGACAGAGAAACAAAATTATAAATTTTATGTTTAAATATAGATACGTATATTTTATATGCATTTATTTTATTGTACATATTTATCACGTTGATTACAGCATCATCTATATTTAAGCAACATGTACTCATTTGTGACGGTTTTATTTACCCAGTTACGAATGATTTCACTAAGTATTTAAGACATTAAAGAAAACAATATTAATTATATTAAAAGACATAGAAAAAGTTACGAAGTATTAAAATAATACATTAAGATTCATTAAGCTCAATGCCGGAATCAGCTTGGCAGTCAAACTGTTAAGAATGTTGCATTAATTTTGTAATTAATTAATTTATTTGAATTGTAGGAAAGATTAAAATATCGCTTTATATATTCTTAAAAAATATATTAGTATCTTAATTTTCTAGATACGCTCATTTCTTTTCAACCAATCAAAAATCATAAAGCTCTTCATAAAGCTAAGCTACTTTCTATTTACAGTATAATGAGAACGATGGACAGCGCACTGTTACTCCACTCATCGATCGATAAAGATCCATTGACGCTGCCGCGAGGATGCTCCGGCATTTCGATCTCGACGGACTGGATACTGACACACGGCACTGCGTTAGGCTCGTTTATCGACAAATCCTCCGCGATATCGAGCTTCGTCGCGAACTTGGTTCCGGGCGAACTCACGACGGTACCGAGAGAATTCGCGAGCGAGTTGAAATTTCGAGTCTATCGCGAGCGAGGGACCGACGGCGATTTTCGATCGAACTCGTTTGAAGAACACCACGGTGCGATCGTGGCCGCTTGGAGGTGTCCGCTGCTGAGGAAGACCTTCGACGAGTTCTTCGAGACGTGGAGCTTCCCCAAATCGTCCATCCTCGATCGATCGCTGCGCTCGGTTTTCCTGCTCGTCCACGTCCACGATTCCGACGAGTCAATTATGGAAACGTCGTCGCTCGAACAAGCCCTGTCTTGTCTGCTGGATCAAGTTCCGCGGAATCTTATCCGCGGATCATCCGTGGAAATCGAGTCGACGCCCTTCGGCAATCCCGTGTTCGCCGGCTCGGTCGCGCGCGGCGTTATCAGCAATGTCGTCGGTGACGAGGGCTGCGTTATCATGACGGACGCGTACGCGTTCCCCGGTGGCGAGGGCGGTCCCCTTTACATCATCCCGCCGGACTGGTAATTATAATTCTTATTATCTGAAAATATCCCCGTTTTTATGAAAATATCCCCTTTGCTCGACAGCAACGTCGACTTTGTCTCTTGAACGAAAAGTCTCTTATTATTCAAGAGAATAACGGAGCCTTGAAAGAATTTCTATTTTATTTTAAACTCAGGTTTGTGTTAATGTAGTCGTAAAAAATATGCAGAGATTTTTTTTAATAATTTTAAAACATAAGTTCTCTTTTAGAAAGAATTCAATAAAGATCACTTTAATAATGAAAAGTCAGTGGTTTGTTTAAAATTGTCTCGATACTGTTTTTGTTTTAGTAAACGCAGAATTATCAGCGGCATGGTAATCGCGCCATCGAGCTGGTGCCGCGGAGAATGGGTGGATTACACTTTCGCCGCGAATCTTGCGCCGTGTGTGCTTAATATTTTGCGAAAGAAAAATCCTCCTCGTTCTCCGATCGCATATCACGAAAATATAGACGGTTCGTTAATAAATGATATTATTTCTTATCTATTACATCTGCAAGATGTAATAGATGTAAAGATTTTTTTATTTTTTTTTTCATATAGCGGCGTTAGATAGAGGCGTTGTGCTCGTTAGATGTGGGATTAGTTGGGGTACAGGCGTCCTCGTGGATAAGGATACTGGTACATTCCTGACATGCTCGCACGTCGTCGCGGAGGTAAAAATCAAACTTTATAAAAAAAAATATTATTGCAGAAATATAGTACAGAGATATATAATTCAGTATCCACTCCTATAGAAATTTAATACTGGAAAGTAATGATTATTTATGAGCAATAGTGCTTTTAATACTCACAATCAGAATAAGTAATTTCCAGTATTAAATTGAATTTCCGTAAAAGCATGAAAATAAAAAATAGAAAATACGCAGTACATGTCAGCACGCAATGTAAAAATATTGAATTTATTAACAATAAATATGCGCAATAAACTCAGCATGTGGCAATATATTATTGGATTATTACTGGCTTATTAATATTGCCGAAATAAAATCGGAAACGTTAAACTTTTTATGTGCGATAAAATATTAATTAAGTTAAAACGAATCTCTAACAGGCGTCAGAAAGGGAGATATCGATCGTAATGAGGCCGGACAAACTTAATTCGCGTGTCGAGGCGAAGCTATTGTACAGAACACCGGCTAATCAACCCTATGACGTCGCTGTATTGAGGGTGAATCCGCGGGACGTGGATCCCTCGCTAAGACCCGTACGGTTGTCTCACGCTGCGATTTTAAAGGGCAAGTATTTCGTATTTTGTTAGATTCTCTCTTTTCATCGAAAGACATCGGAGGTGATGCGTTGGCCGTTATAATAATTCCAACCGCTTCAAATTGTTTTGAAACGACAGATAGTATATTGATCAAAAGCTTACCCTCGTAGCTTTCGCGCAATAGGAGGAAATTAGCGATATATCCAGCAGCGTGTTAAGCGGTTTCCTGGCGCCTTAACGCCAGGGACATTGACCTTCTTCCATCGGGACAGAAATAGCATATAATTGTACAAAAATTGGGTCAATTGATCGTCGTTGGGGGTGAAATTGATATTTGGCCTCCTTCTTCTAACTTAGAAACCGACACATAAGTCATCCCATTTATTCGATCGCAATAAAAGTCTATTGCCGTGCCGTTCTATGAGAGCTTTATTGGGCACGTTACGTGAGCGGTGTGACGCAGAATTTTCAAAAACAACTCGCTTCGCGAGCGAAAACGGAATTATGTTGATCTCCAAATTATTAACAATCGTCACAAATTAAAGTAATTTAACGAAGCTCATGGCTTCACTGGCGATTTCTTTATAAGCGAAGCTTTTTATTTAAAGTCAACAGTGTCAAAACTTACGACGCCAAAACTTCAATTGACAAAGCGCGTAATAAAAGTAATAAAGTAATTATAGACAAATTTTACAGATGTATATCGTAATTTACGCGTTAATTCGGCATCAAAGTGAACATTTGGCACGATTACTAAGATAAGATTCATTATATTAAATTCCAGCTAATTTAAGAGTCCAAATCATAATAATATGAGTTTTTGATAGTTTTAGATTATTTTAAATTAAGTTTAATCCTTGGACACACAAATTATTCCAATAAAATTGTCAAGATTTTTTCGTTATCATAACAATTAAAAAGCAATTGTGAAAATAATACTATGTTTATAACATCAAAGGTTTTGTCACCCTTCAATAACGTCGGATTAAATTAGTGTATGTAACATTCCGGAGATTAAATCGACTAGATCGACTAAATTCAACCTAACAAGTGCGTTTCGTGTGCTCGCAGGCGAGCCGGTGGTCTCCGTAGGATTTCCGTTCTCCTCGTCCGTCCGACCGACCGTCAGCGGTGGCGTGGTCTCCAAGCCGATGGACTGCGCGCTCCTGACGACCTGTTGCGTCCAGAGCGGTGCCAGCGGCGGGCCGATCGTCAGCCGTGCGACCGGCGAAATGCTGGGAATGATCGTGTGCAACGTGCTCTCCTCAGACGGCACCGTGCTCTACCCGCGGATGAGCTTGGCGGTACCGGCCACCACGCTGAGCGGGCCCCTGCGGGAATACTTGCGCACTGATAGTCAGTAAACAAATCTAAATTGACCCTGACGATCTAACGACTATACAATTTGAACGGAATGAACTGTAAGCCTTCCGCGCCGCAGAGACAGAGGAAACTCGCGTGCGTTCAAGTGGATTTTTAATCTCTCCTGCAAAACGCAGCCTGTCGTGTCGCAAATAATATTGAATAATTTGTAAGTGCGGTCCATAAATTTTGAAACGAAAAAAAAATTTACAAAAATAAAGAACCGAGTATTATAAAATCATCGGTGTTGCAAACACTTGAGATGCGTGTTGGCCAATACGGCGTTTTCGCATTTTAATCCTTGTAACATTGTGACATTTATAGTTTTTTATTTTTTATAATTTTTGTTAAATTGCTAAAGCAATCTAATAATTTGATGCTCATTGAGCATCTTTTTGAATCCTGCGAAAATAACTTGCGACAAATGTTATCTCAGCAAGAATTTGAACCTGGACCTCCCTGCTCTCGGGGCAGGCGTCTGACCTGTTCGACCACCGAGGTAATATTTATCGCAATAACTAGTAAATTTAGAAAGAACGTCTTTCAACGGCGATGTGTATAAATAACTACGTATCAGAATTGACCATGAAGTGTTATAAAAATTAAGATACGAAAACGTCAACATATTATAATACGCAACAATATTATACATCAACAATATTATAATACGCGAATCTTATAATTCTCAATTTAGGTAAATTAAAGGTAAAATAAAGAATATATCAAAAAAATATTTAGAAACATTTTTCAGGTGTTCCTGTACTTTAAATTAAAAAAATATTTAAAACGTTTTTCTAACGTGTCTTTATTTTATTTGATTTTTGTCTCGAAAGTTGTGGACTGCACCGTGTATATCGCACAAGCGATGATTATAGTTATCAATTAAGACTGCTAAAATATCCCCTTGAATTTTCCCGAAAGTTTTCACCGCCGAGATTACGCGAATGGCAGAAAACAGTTGATGAAAAATTGATTTATCTTTTCCATTTTAATTGTCTTTTCTTTGCAGATCCCGACGTGCTTCGAGCTTTCACGTGCGACAACGCGGTGGTGCGCAAGATTTGGGACTTCTACCCTTTCCTGCCGTCCAAACTGTGAAAGGAGGACGGGAGATAATCCAAAGCGCTAAAGCACGATCCAAGTTCTAAGTTTGCTCAATTAATTGCATGGACTCTTGCCAGGACTCTTTGCTGTTCAGTCCGCGTTTCTTTGTACGTACCGCGACTCATATCTCGCCGACAAACATATCGGACCATTCGTATTGCGGAATGTTTGTCACTGAGTCACGCTGGACCTGCCGATTTCAGGCTCCACGCACCGCGAACATAATCTCGCGTTGAATATCGTTGGATAACGTACGCCATTGACCGAGTTTAACGCAAAGAGAAAGTTTTTCGTGACGTCAAATGCAGCGATCAACGCGCGCAAACCGATACGAGTCAACGATCTCTCGGTGTCCGCTTCGCCGATAAATAATATTCACATACGTCATCGCTTTTAGAATCTTCAAACGATGCTCAATGCTGGTATATATACTTTGCGAGAGCTTCATTTATATTATTTAAAAAAAACCATGATTCGTATGACATTCCTTTTCAGATATACATTGTGGAGCTGTGACTACGAAATAATCTTGTCCGATCTAAAAATAAGTCGCTATTCGCCTCACGTATGGTGTTCTAATCTTCTTCCGAAGATCAACGCAAATATCTAAGCTATTTAAAAAATATTTAACAAATGCTAATTCATTTAAAAATTGATGCAACAACAAATCAAATATATGTTAAGCATGCCAAAATGTCATGATAACACTTCTAATTCAGATTTTTATTTTTATATCGTTACGATACCAGACTTCATTATAGATTAATATCTAAATGAGCTTCACGATAGAATATCACGAAAAATTTATGCAAGGATAATTTATATTAGCCATCCTGAGAGAAATTGAGAGATCGGATAAAGATCTTCAAGAAATTGAATTGAATACGATGTTGAATTGTTATTCATGTTTATTTCACTTTCTTTAAAATTAGGTATAGCTAAATGACGCGGTCACAATATATTGCCTTATACACTGCACTCGATGCTTACAAAAGAATCACACGGTCAGACGATCGCAGGTAACGTTCGTGGGGAGGGGGGGGGGAGATGTGGAGTGCAGGGTGACGGACAGTCGGAGAAATGGTAAAAAGCAATTGCAATTGACAGAGAGACTCGTGTACAACGCCGTTCCACGCACACCGTTCCGTATATACAAGTTCGAACGAATTTACGCTAGAAAATAAATTAACGTTGTATCACTATTAATTTTGCTCGCTCCTGGTGAGGGTGAGAGGGGAGAATTTCCCTCCCTCCTCTAATGCACGTAGGAAAACGGTAATCTACGTTACAACCTCGTGAAACGCGTCTTCGAGAGTGACAACAGCGGACGCTTCTATATGATTGTTGATTTACGTTATTCCTTTTTTTATTTCTTCTCCGCGCGGGATGAACGCGCAAAAAAACGCGGGCAGCGCAGGAGCAAGTGTCCTAAGACTTGCCAGTTGTACGAATTTAATTACGATACGAAGATACGTAATATATTGATAAATATATATATATAATATGTATATATTAAGATATATAAATAGTACGATCCTTTACACTAGAATTACAGATCATGTATATATACATCATGGATGGAGTCTTCATAATTATTGGAGCATTCGAAGAGTTTCTCTTTTTTTTTTCCTTTCCTTAAAGTCTAAAAATTCTTCTCCGCGCGAGACGTTTAACTTTAATGACTCCTATTGTCCCTTAATCGATCTAATGATTTTTCGATGCAAAAGTAAGAAAATAGCGAGTGTGTCCGGCTTCGCCGTTTTGCGCTTGTCGCTTCGCGCGCAACGGAGGGGGAAGGGGACTTTCGGGCGATACGACGTCGTCCACTTTGATGAAAAAGGACGGAGAAACGATAAGCAGGTTTCAGAAGTTAAATCTAAGTGTTTTGTCTTGTGTCGTCTTACTAGGAATCCACGGTCGGCACGCCAACCTTGCAGTTTCTCAATACAAAACAATAGCACTTTATCGACGGGGGATGATACTGCGCGATGACGATCGCACCATACAGGGCATTCTAAAAATCGCATACGTTCGTCAAGGCATTTAAAAGTGAATTGATTTTTGTTTATTACTATTTTTTTTCCCACTCTGATTTTATGCCTAGGTACAAAAAAAAAAGAATGAAGAGTACGGCGGTAATTAAATCTGCGATCGGGGGGAGGAAGTATGCGAATCCTAGAATGACCTACGTCTTGTACTTTGAGATAAATGCATAACATGCGCCAAAAGGAACACACTATTTTTCACAGTGCGGCAAAAATTCACTCGACATTTCAACGTCTATAATAAGTACAAAACTAATTGCGTGAAGAATTAATGTACGCTAAACCCCTAATCATCCTTCGAGAACTTGCCCCTAAGTAAAGCGAACTAAAAGCTAACAATTGGAGATTCCGCGAGATTTCTTCCAGCGTTCCGCGATCACAATTTGGGCATCGACGCCAACTATCACATGGAGACATCCGAAAGCATCCGTATTTTTTTCTTTTTATCCGTAAATGTATTTACGCGGCCCTGCGTGCAAAAATACACGAGGGCGACTAGAATCCTTCCTTGTATTCGTACTCACGACAATCGCACGCCACCTCACTCCGATCCCGAATTTCTTTTCGACACGATGTGTTTTTTTTTTTTTTTTTTTTTCGGGGGAAAAGTAACAAATCCCTCGTTTGGGAAGGATCTCACGAAGCTCTTAGCAAAATTGCAAATTTGATCGATAACTCGTATCCAGGCTCGCTCTGCAATTTTTACAGCGCACCCCCGAACCGATTTACGTGCGTTCATTGCTGATAACCATTCGGCGGATTCGGCGTTTCTTGACTGTCTATACTGTAACCGGTAATACTATCTGGGCTTTGCAGAGACGCCGCGTAGAGCGGGTTGATTGGCGTAGCGTTCGTGTCGAACTGGGTCGAGTCGTAAACGCTGTGATTCTGGAAAGAAAAAGAAAAGAACATTCCGCTTTGCGATTATTAGAAGGTAGAAGGTCCTAATCAGTCAGTTAATTAATTAACACTCCCGCAACCATATTGAATTACGACGTCGGAAGCGGGAAGTCATGCGAGATGCCTTTTCTACGCAAAATAAAATCCACACAATTTTCGGCTTCCGACGACTTCATTTTATGACGAGTGCAATCAGACAACAGCGTAGCTTTAAAGAAATTATTGTGGTGCTGATATAACGCTCGTATTTCAGCGCAATATACGACGGAAGCGTTTATACATGAACTCGCAAAAATATATGCCGATAAATTCTGCGAAAATCCAGCCAAAAAGCACTGTTGGAAATAAACAAAACATCGAGTTTCGCGTGTACTGTTACAACACTAAAGCGAGTTGGTGCAAATAGCGCGTACGATGCACGCGTAATGAAATATCGCTTGAAAAGAAAAAAAAAACATTTTACGAGATTCCATTCGGTAAAAAGACAGCAGAGTGATATCGTTGCAAGGATTCGAGTGATTGCCCGAAGTTAGTGTAAATAAATGAAACCAAGTGCATTGACTACATCAATACGTTTAATTGTGCGACAGTTTCTGCAACATGCTGAGAATATTTACAGTTAGATAAAGCTCTCGAATGGCACCTCACCATACGCGTTATAATGCATAATATAGGGATTAATAATTAACAAAATTAAATGTAAAACCTAGCAAGATTATCTACGATTATGTACAGGTTTACAGTGGGCCGACTGCAGGCGATATATATATATGTATATAGATAAAGCTATTTACAGAGATTCAGTTTGTGCGTAAAGGTCTGAATCCGGGGAGGGATCGGGACGGGTGTCGCTCCTTCTGTGTTTCGCAAATTTCGGGGATGTTATGGACAATAAATAGTCGCTCAAGCCGCCCGGCTCCCCGTCCTTAGAGTCGCTCTTGCTCTTTCGGTACGCGCCGCTCGTAAAGGAAGTGGTCGCTCTGGGAAGCAATTGCTGCGTGACGTTTGAAGTGTCGGACAAATCAGGCGACACGTCGCCCGAGCGAGTCTCAAAAATCTCGGTGCCGATTGTCGTTAAGCGGCCCGGATCCGCGCCGGCAGCGTCATCTTCGGCGAATAAATTGTCAGCGTCAGTCTTTAATCGAGATTCTCGGGGATCCTCCGTATCGGTTTCGCGCGTCCCGCTCTCCAGAATGGACTGCAGGGTGTTCTTTAACGCCGGGCCCTGAGACAACAGCTCCGACGAGCTGTCGTAACCGCGCGAAGCGTTCTCAACCGCAGCCGCGTGATCTACGGTCGTTTTGTGCGATAAACTATCTAAGCTTTTCCTCGTTTGCGAAAATAGATTGATGTTGCTGTCGATTGCGTTTGGCTTGTAAAAGAAGTTACTGGCGGTGTCGGTCGAGAGGAGTAGATTCGAGACGCTACCGGGGCCGCCGTACGCGACGGTGGCAACGGGTTTACGGATTGGACTGGAGAGCCGCAGGTCCGGCACGCTATTTCGGATTGCGGTGGACTTGGTCAGGGGATAATCGGCCACTTCCGAGACGCCTCTCTCCGCGCTGGGAGCTCTACCGAAGCTTCTGACACCGGACGTCGAGCGGCACGGCTTGACTGGCGAACCGAAAGCGCTCGAGTCATTATTTTTGGCGGACGTTAAGGAGTAAAGAGAAGCACCCGGTCTGGTGGATTTCGATGCCTGGGAATCGTACAGCGGTATGTGAATAGAAGGAGTATGGACCTGATAGATGTAATCGCTGTCGGTTTTCAAGGATGAAAAACTCTGTTGGTGCGGTAACGACACGGTGTCTTCGTCCATCGCGTCGTCCACTTGCGCCTTGTACGAGAACATTATCGAAGGTTGCGAGACCCTGAAAAACAGAACAATTTCCACGGTGTTATCAGCCGCGCGCGACGGTCTAAATTGTTGCGAGTGTCGCGTATAGAGCCCGCTAATTGCGAGCGGCGCGGTATAATTAATAACTCACCCGAAGAATTCCGACAGGAATGTATGGTAAACCAAGGGGGTGAAAAGAGTTAGATACACTGCCGCGGTGAAGTCTACGATGCACAATCCCACCGGATTTTGCGTGTAGTTTAGAAAGCCCGCGCCAATCGACTGCACTAGGTCCAACGTCGCTAGCATTCCGGCGTAAACGTAAAAGCTTTTCCGTGCTGCAATAGAAAGCGGTACCACGTGAAACCCGCAATCAGCGACGAGGCCGCTGTATAATCTCTCGTGGCAAACGGCTACTTACTAGGAAGTGCTAGGCGGTCCCGCAACCGTGTCCATGGCAGTATTAATATGAAGAGATATATCTAAACAAAAAAAAAAGACACATTGACATACTCAGTGATAGAACAAAAATTTTATCTATTTAAGCATGTATAGATACGAATATCGTTTACAGGAACATAATAATTATAAGAATAACATTTCTGATAAACCTCGTGAAATCGAGGCATAGAGGGATCGAGAGGATTCCGCGAATCGCTAATTACAAATCAACGTAATCGCGCATCCGAGCCATTCGTTACCCCCACACGTCGATTTTCATCGGTAGGAAAACGACCGAGGTATACGCGAGACAACGTACCGTTGTGAAAACGAGGCTGCTGCAGAACCAAAACATCATGCCGCCGTGACCGAATACGTAGAAGTCTCGGCTGGGAATATGAAACGTGTCGTCCGGCAGGACCAGCTCCAGGGTTCCTTGAGTGATCGTGAACGCCAGCGCTATGAGGGATGTAGCGAGTAATACTCTACGAATACTGGAGCGGCTGTCCAAATGACCTGCGAACAGAACGAGATTCGCGCGTCAGCGAATATCTGCAGCTGCTCCTCTGTTTTTTTTTTGTTTCTTATAAACTTCGCCACTCACCGAACGCTAGACCGAATATAACTACGCTCATCTCGGTGGACAGTAGAAAAAATCTCACTGTGACCCACAGGACCTTGTCGGCCTTGCCGCCGACCGTCGCCGCCGCGTTCACCGTCATCGACACGACGCAGCGCACCACCGATATAACTACATTACAAATGACCAGACCGTAAAACGCTAAGAATATCGGGCTACTCGTTGCACGTAACTTAAGCCTCGCTCTGTTGAATCGCATCACGATGAACAGGAGAAACAGGAGATTCGGCACCAGGATGATGACATCCCATATTCGCACTCTGCGGGAGAAATAAAAATATATAATATGATATCGGTGGATCATCCAATAAATTAAGATCTATCAGGCGGCCGATCGCGCCAGCTATCCCCCTACCTGGAGTCCTTGATCTCCTTGTACAGAATGAGCTTGCAGAAGTGCTCCTCGTCGTCCATCGCCGTGCTCGCATTGGGAATCATAGTACTGCTCAGGTCATACGTGTGCAGCCAACTTTCGGACACCTCCTCCCTCTCAGCGCCGTACATTTCCTGCCTTCTCGAGCGTTGCGCCGGGGATCCTCCTCCTGTAGTTTCACTACGACAGGGAGGGGAACGAGGAAAACGTCAAACCGATCACAGGTGGCCTCCCCTCTCGTCTACCAGGGGCTAAGGAAACGTCCTCGAGAGACGTAGAAGCGACTAACTCGTCGGACAAACACGCGAACGTCTCGTCGAGACCTCGCGTTATCTCGGGTGATCTGCAGCTGACACGGGAGAGGGGGGAGAGGGGAGGGAACACCGCGGGCTGACTAAAACAAAGCCAGTTTGTCGCGCGACAAACATAACCTAAAAGAGACATGTCCGCGAAACCCTCGGCATCACTCGGGCGTCACGGTTGCGCGACGGGCCGCCCGGGGAGCGATCCGGGACTTAGGAGTCTCGCCGACGTCTCGCCGTGGGCACGACGGCACGACGAGTATCCCGCGGTCGATACCACGGGGGAAAGAAATCGATAAATAGCCTGGCTATTGTGTAGCTGTCAAACGGATCGCTGTCTCTCTCTCTCGTCGCGATGGCCTCGCGCGCGCGGGGGCCTAACCCGGCCTGCAACCGACTTATAGCTAATTAGATGAGACGACCGACCGTCCGTTAATCGGCTTACCGAGCACGAGGACGTCGCTCTCATTTTCTCTCCCTGGGAAACGGCGCGGCTCGGCGGTTTTCCAGCCAGCCGAGGCGAACACTCGGTGCGTGACGGACGCGTACCGTAGCGTACCTCGCGATTCTCCTCTTTCCGCCTTTCCACTGCACCGCTCTTTCTCTCTCCCTCTTCCTCGTTCCCTCTCTCTCTCTCTCTCTCTGCCGTTCGCTCTTTCTTTCTCTTTCTCTCTCTTTTCCACCGACTCCCACGCTCGTTGTCTCCGTCTCTCTAACGCTCCACGCTCTCGCGCGTCTCACTACGCGACTGCTACGAGATCCCAGTGCCCATTTCCACCGATGCCGTGCCCGTGCTCGTCCAGCTCGTCCTCGTCGCAATTAATTAACCTTGGCGTAATCCACGGTACCGGGTACGTAGTCAGCCGCCAGTCGAGAAGGGAATATTAGAATATCGATAGCTCGACACGCGGAAACTATCGTTACTCTCGCGCGTTCACGATTAAATCCCACCTCGTAGCGTAGAGCGTCACGCGACGCCAAAGCGGAGCATCGTTTTGACAGGTGACGCCACAATTCGCTCCGTGCAGAATTAATTAATTAATAAACGGCCGCCCGCCCCTGTTTTCGGCGTGCTTTTGTTTTCGGCGGATTAAACGGGAAAATAGTTTGCGTCAATTCGTTTAGAATCTGATCGTTCGCCGAGAGTCTCTTTGTCAGTTTGACATTTGAATAGGTTAGGTGATGTTTAGATAACAGTAGCTTGTGAAGTCATGCGATGTTTATTTGCGGGAAATGCAAATCTGTTTACAACGTAATTGGCTTATAATAAATGGTTTATAATAAATTCTATTAGAGTATAAATTTTTTTTAATTCCACAATTACATAATTATTATTGTAATATTATGAATTTATTATTTATATTAATATAAATTTATATTTTATATTATAAAAAAATTATAAAATTATAGATAATTTATAGCAACATGTGTAATTGTGAATAGATTACACTAGAAAATTGCACTAAATAATCGCTAATGATTAATAATTTAATATAAATTTTGTAATTTTGAAATTATAAGTTTATAATTTTATAAATCTATTGATCCCAAAAAATTTTTGTCAAAATTTTTATGAATTTATAATTCGTATAAAACTATATCTGCTAATAATCTATAAATATTAATAATGTGTTATAGAAATTTTATAATTTTTAGCATAATAAAATTATAGTTTAAAAATTATAAACTTGTAATTGCATAATATATAATAAAATCTTAATTGTTAAATTTATGTTAATAACTGCGTTAGTGATTGTTTAGTAGATATATTTTTATTTATGTGTAAATAAATATTGTACTTGTCTAGGTTTTTTTTAACGACACATCGAAAAAATGGCCGTCAATTATTCCAGTAGTTTACTGAAAAACGTCCACGAAAATTTAGTCTTACCAGATAATGGCGAAACATTCTTGGTTCAAGGAGATTACGAGTACTGGCATTACGGTTGTGACGGTTTTAACGACAGGGTGATTGATTAATTGCAATTAAAATTCTCTCGCGCATTAAATCACCAAGGTAAATACGATTCACATTTATTCAGGGTTGGGGATGCGGTTACAGGACGCTGCAAACCATTTGTTCATGGATCATAGATAATGAGAGCTTAGGAAAGATCGTTCCGAGCATTAATAAAATACAAGAGACCCTTGTCGAGGTGGAGGATAAAGACAGAACGTTTGTTGGGTCGAGAGAATGGATAGGAAGTTTCGAAGTAAGCTTAATTTCCTCAGCCACGTATCGGGGGTTTCGAGTGAGAGGATTTGACGTTACGAATACTTTGTAGGTGTCCGTTGTTTTAAATCAACTTTACGAAGCTCTTAGCAAAATAATTCACGTCCCGAGCGGAAAGAGTTTGATCGATCAGGTGGATAAGATTAAACGACACTTCGAGCAATTTGGCAGTCCGATTATGATGGGCGGAGACAGGGACTGTTCCAGCAAATGCATAGTAGGATTACACGTTGGAGACGGAGGTGTGTATCTGTTAGTCGTCGATCCGCACTTCGTCGGAAAAGCAAAAAGTGCCGAGCATTTAAAAAAAGATGGATGGGTAAAGTGGCAGAAGTTGGACGACTTCGTCGACAGCTCGTTTTACAATCTGTGCTTACCGCAGCTCAAGTATCGTGGACTGGTCGATAAATAACATTAAATATATTTATACAAAATAAATGTAATCATTTCCGTTGGAAATTGTAATTTTGTAATAACGCCGATCTTCGATATTTGATTGATAAATATTAAAATATTGAACAGAAATATTCTGATATTCTGTTCTTTCTTCTCCCATTAATTTTTATATGATAAAAAATTTATAGAATTATACATAATATTCTTAAAATTACGACAGTTAAGGATAGCTTAATGGTCGTTCGTCTCTATGCTACAACGAATACTGTTAATAAATAAGAAGGTATATTAATACGTGAAATATACTGAAGAATACAGCGATCTCTCGATTTCTCTCGAGGATTGTTTCAATCTGTGTTTAACACTAGGCAAACACCCTGAAGTACCCAATGCGAAATGTGCTCCGGAGTCGCCAAATCTGCCTCGAAGACTAAACCGACACCGAGAGTGCTTCGCCGATTCGATGTAACATATACGGGAGTTTTAAAAGTATTCTGTAACAAGCGTAAAAATAATTATTCATTTTACAAGTCAGAAGTTCTTCATTCAAATTGCAAATTATTTGATTAAATATGCTAAAGCTATTTAAATCGTTTGAAATGAATTAGGAGAAACGGCGAGAGGTACTCTAATAATAATAATGTCTCAGGTATTTTTTGAAATGAATTACGAGAACAGCGAGAGATACTCTAATAATAATTGTAGAAACGGAAAAGGTGTGAACAGATGAATTATTAAATTATTGAATTCACCTGTTCGTACCTTTTCCGTTTCTATAATTATTATCTCTCGCTGTTCTCGTAATTCACATTTCAATACCTGTAACTTCAATCTATGAACTTCAGTAGGTGCGATAGTTAATATTGGCAGCTCTTCAATCAGGACTTTCGGATGCGATCTTTTTAAACAATGCTCCTCGATGTCCCACCTAGCGCCCTCCAAATACAATCCGTGCACGTAACAGCCCTTTAAAGTTTAAAACGACGGACGATAGAGTACAGAGTTGTGATAAAATCTCGTAAAGAGTATAATAAAGCAAGTGTCGTCGGGATTCACCTGGTCGGGTCTCTCCTCTATGTCGTCGGGATTGGAGAACTTGGACACCGTCGTGTAAATGACGGAACGGTCGAGGGGCCAATTGTTCTTGCGGCATGTCATTTGCACGAGAGCCACTAGATAAGTTTCCGGTACGTGCAAGCCGGACAACCAGAGCACCACGGGTTCGTTCGCGCCGGACTATATGGGAGGAGAAAGCATTTATTAGTCATAAACTTAACGTATACGTAGAATTACGGAGTATCGTTGCGAAAACGTTATTCGTGACGACGTTTCGCTTAGTCGCACCCAGTTTGTGTATTGGTCTATCCTCTTCTGAAAGTGGTCCATCCAGCCGGCAAGATTCTTTCGCGTGTCCGGCGCCAATCTGGCCCACTCCTTGGGCAGCATACCGTTATAAAGCGCCACGGAAATGTTCTCCAACATCACATCCATCCCAATCTCACCAGCGATGGCCTATAATTTTATTTCAGATATCAGACACGTTCTTAATTAATAAATAAACTTAGCGGAGAATTATAGAGACCTAACTGTGTTGCCATGAAAAGTGAAAAAAGAAATGTAAATTTTACAAATGTATTACGAGAGGTTCGAAACTTTCTCTTTCTTTAAAATAAATCTATAACAAAATAATTGCATAACGTAATAAAGTGATCTGATAAAGTACCTAAGATTTTAATAAAAACGCTATATAAGGATTTATAAAGATAATAAAAATGCATCTCATGCAGGATCTATGCAATATGTAATTAATTAAATAGTTGTTAATTAAATGTAAATTAAAAGTAATTAAATGTGCATTAAATATAATTAAATTAAATCTATACGTATGACAGATTTGAAACATCGAAAACATATCGACCTTTTTCAATTGATTCAACGTTCTCGTAATCGTTTCTATTAATTTGTTGACTCTCTCCAATTCTTGAAATAGAACGATCGCGGTCGGTGCCGCGGTTGCGCCGAAATTTCTCTTGACCTTACTAATATCGTACAGCATGGGTGGCATCTTGGTCAAGATCTCCCTCGCCATGTTATCGATAAACTCGTCTTTGCTGACACCGGTGACGGTTACGGCTAAGAATATAACGTGTCATTTTATAACATGTCATTACATTGTAATTTATCGGAAAATGCAATAAACTCGAAAGTGCAACTTACTTTTTTTATCCGAGCGGGCTACAAACAGTTTTTTAATAAAATATAAAATTAAGAATTACCATGCTTCTAAAAATTAGTGAAATTCTGCTTTCGAGGACAAAATAACAGCAGTAAACACATATATAATTTGTTATTAATTTAAAGCATGTAATTCACTAATATTCGCATCTCGTAATACCTAATTAAATCTATTTTCAGTGTCTATATCTTGAGAATTTCGCGACTAGAGCACTTTATAAAATAAATGAGCACTTTATTATGGCATATAATCGAACTTTTTTTATACTGGAAATGCTATGTTCATGGAAATAGTTATCAAGTTTATCATCTTATCTTGTTTAAAAATTAATAGCTCAACATATTTAATAGCTATGCCATAATTCCGCCATGCGATTGTTATCATCGATATTGTAGAAACAATGCTTATTGTTAGTAAGACGAGAAAAATATGTAATGTACTCGCACCGGTTTGCGGCTGAAGTTCTATGAGATGCCTCCACATTCCCTTAACTGCCTGCGTAAAGTATCCAATCTCGGCGTTTGGATGCAGTCCGAACACCTCCGGGCTGCCAACCAACGGAAGCTCCTTAATGAATCGCAAGTAATCGTCGCGATCACCTTCCGGCGGTATCACGTAATCGACGATGTCGTTCTTGTAAAAGTGAAACGGTTGGAATTCGTCGAAGAGAAAATCGCCGAAATACTCATCCATATAAGTGTAAGAGACGCGACGATCGTAACTATCTATTACTCTTCCGCCGTACATCACCTGGTTATTTTCGAGCATAAAACACAATAGCTTGTGATCATTCAAAATTTACGCGAAAAAAACGCAGGATGACACCAAAAGTAAGAATATAAATAAAAATTATAGATTATATAAAAATTAAATTATAGATGATTAGATAAGTATAAAAATTAATTCGAACGTACTTCACCAATTAGATACTTGAGGCTATTCCACGGTACTTTAGACTCCTTCGTTGCCAGTGCCTTCGTCAGATAAGTGTCCAAGATAGCAATACACACATTAAAATCTGACTCGTTGAAGTCGTACTTTATATTCCATCCAATTTTGTCGTACTTTCTTCTCTCCTGCGACGTTAAGAGCACTTAATTAAAATTGCTCCGAGGATCAGATGCGCGGTTAAATATTCACTTGCCTGGATAACTGCGTGGTAAAACGCTAGTACGTAAATTAAGTGCTTGTAAAGAGGATGAGGGCAACTTTCCAAGAGCTGCGGTCGCATGTTGAAGTATGTGTTTTGCAAGTTTAACTTCAATCCACTCGGCGGTTCCGTCACCACTGCAAATGAGAATTTCGTTTAAAAATAAACGCCGAAATACAGCCTTGGTTATAAACTAAATTCAAAAATAATTTTATTAAAGAATAATATTTATTTTTATAATAATTTTAATATTTTGTTAGTCCTGGCTATTATTACCGGTTTTTTCCAAAATAATGCAATAAATTGAGAGTACTTTATATTTATGGCCAAGGCTGCACATATAATTACATTTTTATTGTACCTTTTAAAGATTGTTGAAGTATTCCGATCGGAAAATTGGGGATGGGTTCCGTGGTGAGCCACAGGCGAAAGTCAGGATGAGGTTTCTCTATGTTCTCCACGATCTTTTCCAAATTTTTTGTGAAGGACAGCAGCAAGTGGCAATTCTGGAGCATCAGCCATTGACCTCTCGTCATCGCCGTCCCCAATAATTCCATTGCGATCTATTAAATAAATAATTAAAAAAAAAGTTGAATTTAAAAATTTCTTCAAAATGCAGAAAGTTAATTGGCGTGACATCAAAATGCATTAAATTATTCGTCACATTTTGAGCTGGCATGATAGACATTAATTTTATATACGAGTCCGATTACGCATTATTTTCCTCTCACCTTTTCCTGGCTCTGACCGAGCGAGAGATATTTGAACTTTCCCCCGCCGCAGCCGTAGCGATCGGCTAACTTCATCAGCTCCGAAGTGGGATCTGAACCCGGACTTAGGATGAAAACTACAGGCATGGTCGGCGTGCTCTCCTCGAAAATCATGCCGAAGCTCACGTGAGGCGGCGTAATGTACTGCTCGCCCATGATCTCGGTAATGTAATCGATGATACCGCGAAAGACGCGATCCACGCGGAAGCAGCGTATCAGCATCAGCTTCTCGAACGATGTCAATCGCGGACTATAGTCGCACGGGAGCTCCTCCAACTCCGGTGTGTCCGAGTCGTACCACTGAAACAGATAATTAATTATCCTATTAATTGCCGCCTTAAGATGATCCACATTCCTCAGACTTCAATTCGAAGATTATTTCAACTTTCTTATTTTAGGCAAAGCGCGTGTTGAATTTCGAAAGCGTTTGTGGAATATTAATTAAATAGCGATTTTCGGATATTTTTATATATCATCACAGTTTGAATTTCTGAAAGAGAATTGAAGATTTTTAAACATTAAAATTAATTTATTTGATACGGTAATTTGACGTTAAAATACAACATTAAATTATCTGAATAATCTCCGTTTGACATTTTTTGTTTACCTTTTTCCATTCGTCCTCGTAATCTCGTAGCTCTTCCGGGAGCTGTTCGAACTTCTCCGGGAAATCGCTCGCCAGCTTGAGAATATCCTCCCAACCCGACAGCGGCAGCCATCTGGTAGGATTTACTTTCGGTGATTTCTCCAGAGCCACGCTGCCCTTGACGAAGAACTCCAATTGCTTCTGGCTCACGTTGCCTAAGCTCTGCTCTATCTTCACGCAAGTTTGCAGGGAGAACAGTAACTTGTGCCGCGCGAAGATACCAGTGCAGCCGTAATCGTAGACGTTCTTCGTCAGCATCGGAATGATGTGCTTCAGTCGTCTGATGACCACCGGATCTGGCAACGATCTCCTCAGCGAGTGGACGAACACCTCGACGTAGCTGTTCAGAGAGTACTGATACATGGCGTTCACGGTGGCCATGTCGACCAGCACGGAGAACAGAATCGCGCCCCGTTCCGCCACCGGGCGATAGCTCTCGCGAAGTCGGTTTATGTCGACGGCAGTGGCCTCCGCGAGCGACAGCTTCTTCATCACTTCGTTGGCGCTGGACTTGATATTCTCCAGGGTCTTGATCAGTTCGATATTGTCCACCATGCTGCCCTGGTTCACGGTAATCTCGCGCAGAAGGCTGTCTTCCAGTTGCTGCAGCAGATTCTTGTTCTCGCTCGTCTCCATGATCAGCGTCTCGCGCTGCTCCTCGATGTCCGGTCTTTCCGTTCTCACCACCACCGACAGAAGTTGATTCTCCAAACCCTGAGGAAAAGCATCTCGCGAAAATTTATTGTGCAAAGCTTGATATCGAAATATATTTATAAATTCAAAATATATTTCTTAAATTAAAGAAAAGTTATTAGTTTCTGGAATAACTCATAGCCAAGGCTGTATAACGTATAATCTAATAATAATGATGATAATAATAATAATATAATTATGACAATTATAGTCGTATCATAATTGTATCGTAAAGTTAACTCACTGCTGTAGTGACCATGTAATTGATAACGATCGCCTTGGCGTATAAAGCAGGATCCAGCATCGGATTGGTCATTTTCATTGTCAAGTATATTCGAAATTGCGGATCATAATCTACCTCCTTGTCGCCGACAATGACGAAAGTTCGTCCCGCAGCAGCTGTAGAAAGTCAAAACAATTTTTAAATTTTCGCGGTCTGCAATTATCGATTTATGTGAATTTATTTAAATTGCACAACTCACTCTGGATATTTTTCGATAAGACGTTACTCAAAATGGGATCAACCTCATCGACATCTTGGACAAGCACAGGCAGACCATAATTGATCGCCAATTCGATTTGCTTCAAGAAATCCGCGTCCGTAAAAGAGAGGATCTTTAGATTCTTCTTCTCTCTCTTTTTGATCCAATTTAACGCTTGTTGCTGAGGATCGATGCAAAGTGGAAATTTGGATGCTTTCATCGTTAGTATGCCATTTTGCACGGACAGCTCGTCCGGTGGAAGACCTTCCGAGTTCCATCTGCAAATTGCGCTTGAACGTTAGAGGCGCAGCTTCCATATCGCTAAATTATACTAATACATTTGCTAGAAAAAAAAATAGAAGAGCCTCATCTGCAAATAACTGTTAAACTGTCTTTGCATAGCGTTTTACTTTCACTCCTGATTTTTAGAAATTAATCGTGTTTTCTCTCAATTTTTATTTAATCGAAAAAATTATGTGAATTATACAATTATTAGTTTAAATTATTATTATATATTTAATTATATATAGTATTAATTATTTATAATATTATATATAAAATAAATAAAATTATATATAATATTAATTGTATATAGCAATCTGGATGGATATTCTATTATAGTCAAATATATGCAGCAGTCTCGTTTACTTGCTAATTTCAACATCATTGCTCAGTTGCGATTCGAGCTTGAAGGGCGTTGATAAGGGTAACTCCTTGTCCAAGATGCTCCTCTGCCAGTCGCTGTACATTTCGTTCCTAAACTCGTAGGAGAAGGGACCGCTGTAAGCCAGGAAGGACGCTCCAAGCAAGCAATTTCCCGTGATCTTCTCCATGTCGTCTTGAAGAATCTCCAGATCCTTCCGCCATCGTTCGTTCTCGGAGGACAATCCGGAGATGAGCTTATCGGCGGCCGAAAGACGTCGCTGCAGCAAGTCGGTTTCGTCCTGAAGATTCTGTCTCTTGGTCATCGCGACGTCGTACTTCGCGTTCAATTCCCGGAGCGTTTCCTCCAAACGCTTTAATTCCCACTCTTCCTTTTCTAACGCGCGCCTGGCTTTCTCGGACTCCGCTTCGAGCGCCTGAACTCGGTCGATCTTCGGCTTAACCTGAAATCAAAAGTAAATTATTAACGTAGGAATTTGTAATTCATTTATAAAATTAACATAAAATTTTTACATATTAAGAGAAACTGGACCGTGATGATAGATGAGTCTAAAACGCGACGAATGGAGAAAAAAAAAATAAATAAAGATTAAATCAGAATTTAAGCAAAAGTTAACCGATAAATTGTCGATTACAAAATGCTATATGAATACCTCTCTGAAAACGGTACAATAATCCAAAACGGCAAGCACGAATTTGTACAGGCCGTATCCCGCTTTGCTGATGACTTGCATCTGATCCAGTTTGTCCGTCTTCTTCAAGAGCGCCCGCACCGCTTGCTGCTGCCGCAGAGTGATCTCGTCGCAGTTTATCTCCTGCAAGTGCCTCAAGAAATACGGATCGCTCATCATGCCTTTTGCCCCTTTCCACGACACGTCTTTGACGCCCCGAAGTACCGCAACGCATTCCGAAACGATCTGCACCGGTTCGGGCGGAGTGGTGAAGGACCTAAATTGTCATTATCGATTTATTATCGAGTTTGAAATTTCTATTTCTGCGGCACCAGTGATTTAATTGCCGCGACCGTGGTTTGTAGCTTTAATGCATTAATTTCTATACGCGAGTGAATCGTTTTCAAAAGTTGTTTCGCCTTATAAACATTTTTAAAGCAATTTTTGTCGCCTCGTCGGAAATATGTTATGCTGATATAATTTAGATTAAATAGAAAAAAACCAATAATTAAGAATGGTGAACCTTATCTCAGTGATATCCGCTTTCTCGAGGTCGCTCAGCGCGAGTTTGGCCGCGTCGAGAGCCGGCTGCGCTTCCGCTAAGGCGTGCTTGGCTTCCGCTTCCTCTTTGGCAATCATTTTCTTCTTGTCCTCAATTTCCTTCCTTCTCTCTTCTCTCAAATTCTTTTTCTCCAGCGCGACGTCCGTGCTTTTGCCGATAAACGCGAGCAACTGTTCGCAGCCTCTCGTTTGATCATCCACTTGGATTTTTTGCACATCCAAAACTTCATTTAGTTCCGTCAAAGTCACCGAAGCTTCCATGATCTTCTGCAGTCCTGTAAAAAATATTCATTGTACGAAAAAAAAAAAAGGAAAACACTTTATCTGTTTTATCGAAATTAATTTATTCTAAAAATAAAAGATAAGGAGCGGAGAATAAAATTTTTTTAAAATGCTGTTGAATCTATTGATATTTCATTCTTAATGAATATAGTTAAAAGATAAGATAGTTTGTAAAAAGATTTCGCAGCTACCTCCGGAAAGGCGCGCGCAGCGCGAATTTATAAAGTTCTTCTTCTCCACCAATAGTTTCAAATAAGTGTTGATGAAGTCCAGGAAATGCCTCGGCGTGACGTAATTTCGTCGCCTCAGCTTCGTCACAAAGTCCGCTGTATACTGCAATACAGACGTATGTACGTACACGATGTGGCTCACGATCACTTTCTTGTATTCCTGCGGCACGATCGGATTCTGGAAAGCAAAAATAATCTCTCTCGCTTTCTCATTTCATATTGAAACGTTTCCTTCGTCTGCCTTCGCTTACATCTCTGAGAAGAGCGTTCGCTACCGCCACCATGGCCTGCTGCGGCCACGGAAACATCCAGTCTACGGTGGTGTTGTTGATCAAGCCGGGATAATTGCGACATCGCATTCGCAAAGCGTCGCCCGACGGACTCATCGCCAGCGCTATTCGCAAATTCGCCGTGCACGTCTTAGCGAAGTACGACCAGACGCTCTTCCTAGAGTTAAGAATATTTTACTTCAAACATATATTTGAATAAAAAATAAGAATTGGATAAAAAAAATTCAAAACGGAATAAAATCGTTCAAAAACAGCACATCGGCTCACTTTGAGGCATCGAAGCCTGCCTTGATCGCTGCGTCTCTGCAGGAAGAAATGATCATGTCTTTCTCGTCATCGTTGAAGAGAGCCGTCACGAGGCCCGCCGTTAACATGCTGTTCACCAGCTCAAGGAAGCCCTCGTGCTTGATGTGGGCGGACGTGAACATAAACACGACCTTCTTGTTCTCCAGGCCGACCATGTTGTACAGATTCTTCATGTCCTCGCGGAAGAACGCTTCGTTGTATCCGCGACTCAGAATGATCTGGAAGAGCTGATAATTGGCGGCAAAGGACGCTAGTCTGATCACGGATTTCTTGCCGCTGCCGCCCGTACCGATGACGAGCACGTGGCCGCGATGCATCCGAAGTGCACGGTGCACTCTGGTCAGGTGTTCGAGCGCGTCGTTGAAGAGGACCATGTGCAACTTAGCTCTGTTACTCTCGTTATATTCTTCGAAAATCTGGACAGCGTAAAGAGATTTTTAAACATACCACTTCGTTAGTAAAGAAGTGAATAAAAAAAATAGCATAAGCAAAAAGCGAGCATTTTTTAAATAATGAAAGGAAATCGACCTTAAAAATTTTTAGGATCGATTTCTTTTCATTATCTCAAAACTGCTAGTTTTTACTTGTGTTTTTTTTTTCTTAATCAATGTAGCGATATATTTTTCAACATCTTGATTAAACAGTGATGTTGGTCAAATAAAATTTTAGTTTGAATATTAATATAGCATAGAAATAAATCGAAAAAATACATTTAAAGAACAAGCTTGACCTCTAGAAACAAGCTGTAAACCGCCTCGTAGTCCAACAGATCCTCGTAAAACCTAGGCTCAGCTTCGTTGCAGGCATTCCTGAAATCGCCGTAGAGTAACGGGTCTCTTAAACTATATTGAATTATCTCGGGTTCCAGCTCCCAATAAGACTGTATTTTTTCATTCAGATGCTCGATAACCAAATTCTCGTCCTGGAATAACGAAAATTTATTTAAAAATGTACCTTTAATAGACAAGAAAGAGAAAAAATGTAGTTAAAGTAGTGTTTTTGGACCGAAAATTAAAATGTATTACTGTCAGTATAGTCTCAGAAATTGTTTCCGCATTTGTACTTTTTGGCACAAATCACATTTTAATTTTCGCTCCAAGAACGCTTCGAACTTCAACTACATGAGAGAAAAAGGCTTATTACTTGCACGCTAACGAGACGATCGCATATGACTCTAGTGATCTCGTTTCTCCACAGCCTAACAAACTGCTTTACGCCGGGAAAAAAATCAGGATGGCTCTGAAGTAAACCCGCCGTGATTCTCGAGAGATCTCGCATGTTGAAAATATAGTGGAATTTGGACGGTGTCGGCAGTAACTCCTTCCTAACTGTCTGAATGGATATTGCCGTTATGTGGTTGATATGTATTCCAAGAACAAATAATGCTATAACACGTGACGCAAAATTACCTCGTAAAGTTTTAACATCAATTGCACGAGTCCGTTCGCGATAGCCTGAATTTCCTCCGAAAACGTTTGTAGATGTCCGGACAGGATACTCGTGTAAATGTAATTGAGTGTCTCTCTCGTTGGAAAAGTCACATTGTAAACCGAGAACATCGAGATAAATCGCGGATCGACCTCGTTCCTACCGCCACCGGGTTCTCCCATGGCTGCTAAATAATCTACATAGAAAATGCGTGATACAAAGCACATTAATACGTGATTAAATAATAATGTTAAAAATGTTAAAAATATTAATACAATTAATGTCTATTATTTAACTGTTGTAAAAAAATCCTCAATATCGATAAATAATAAAAAATTGATAAAATTGTATAGAAAATTTAACAAAATTGTTGCAAAATAAAATCGGCTTCATTTTTTTTTAAAGCAACAAATATGTATTACTTTTAGAACATTTTGTGTACCGATACTCACAAATATCTTTTAAATATTTCCAATTCAAATCGCGTCCGCGATCGTAAAAGCCGCCCCTCTCAAACAATAGTTTAAGTAATGCTATAGGCTGTTGGGTTCCGTAAATATCCACGATCGGCATATTCATGTCGTCGATGAAAACTATTAATTTCTTCCCGGGCGGCGCTCCGAATACCTCTCGCGATCTTTTCTCCACTACCGATTCGATATTCCTCTGCACATCCATCGAAGTGGTCCTCGAGGAAAAGTTAATTAAGAGTTGTTCCTATTTGTCATAAATGGTTGATAAATATACAATTTTCATGTCTTATTGTATCAGTTTTTTTATACGTATTACATTATTTTATTGGTATGTTATTCGGATAAAACACCATATGTATATATGGAGAATAATTAGGAGTTAAATTAATTTCTTCGATATTTCTTTTTTACTCACGTATTTTTCGGGACTCAAATTCCTTAGAAACTCATGAATAATCGCCGTTTTCGACGTGCCAGTTTCTCCGACTAACAGTACCGGCCTCTCCAGATTGCTCATGAGATCTACGAACCAGGTAGTACGCAGAGTATCGATTGTCTGCACTAAAATATCCGAAAAGTTCTTCTGTCGGTCGTAAAGATACGCCGGTACCAACCATTTCCATGCCATCCAAACCCTTTTCTTCATATCCAGTATATAATCGTACATGGTTGGAAAAGATAAAGGTATAAATCCTGATGAAGTAAACATGCACATTAATTTTTTTTCAGTTAAGGAAAAGGTGCATTATCAAAACTTGACGTTTAATTTATTTTTTGTATTTATGAATTTATTTAAGTTAATTAGGCCGAAATAATATAATATAATATATATATATATATATATATATATATATATATACCTATATAAATTCACGTAAAAATATCATTAGACATCAAGATCCATTTTAACCAAATAAGGTAAAACTCTTTTCGTTTATTTATATTAATTTATTTCTCTTTATTAATATCTTACTAGCAGTCGCGGGTTTATCGGGTGTGTCCTCTGCTGATAAAAATCCGCACGTCTTCTTTATGTATTCATCGAATCTGGAGCGTGCCTTGTCGACAATAGACGCGCCGAATGACCAATAGCACGCTTGAATGTACATCGCCTCCCAGAGCTCGTCTTTCGTCACCAACAAATCCTCTTCCTCGATTTCTGATTTTTTTCTTGCCAGTTCGTTTTTCAGTGACGACAATAAACCATCAAATATATAGCAGAATTGAGTTACCTACAAAAGCCATGTAAAAAGTATCAATAGTAAAAAAATACAACAGAAAAAAATTAGAATTCTAAAATTTTTAATTAAATACATGAAGCTTTTATACTCTTCTCTCATTTTCTACAAATGTAGTAAAATGAATTTAATTTTCATAACAATCATTCTTACCCACAAATCGATAGTCAATTTAGCAGTTACCATATTGAGTCTGGTTTGCGGTATAATAGTCCGAAGCGGCTCGACTGCTTGATGTCCTAACATTCCTTCGGTAATGAGCTTGAGTGGGCCGTGCACGTATTTCTCGCACATTTCTCGAAGAAAATCTTGATCGACTTTGCTTTTGGCTCGTATCCATTTGTCCATGTACGGCTGGTAGCCCAAGTTCTTCGGGTCCACATAGACCATACCCGCTCTTGAAACTGTCGCGGGCGAGGCGTACTGCAAGTCGCCTACCTTCAATACAAGAGCCAATTAATTATTTAAAAAGTGTCTGAACCTTTAAACTTATTATTTGTGAAAATGTCCTTTCTGTAATTTAATTTGCTTGTTATACTCTTAATTTTTTTTGCCGTGATTTATTTCAGAACTGTTGTTAATTTTTTTATTAAATTCTAGTCAAATTATTTATACTGTAATTTTTATGGTAAAAGTAACAGTAAAATTAATTGCAAATACACAGTGCTGTCTTAAATAGCGAATTAATTTTTTAAAAACTTGAATTGCCCTCACAATACAGTAATCGATATTATATCCGCATTGAGCTACCTCGAAGAGCAGACTGCAGTGATTCTGCAATTTAATCCTCTCTTGATTGGCCAGAGTCAACAGCTTGTTGTCGTCCATTACCGAGTTCATGTTTTCGATCCATAACGCATCGACGTCCCCATCGAGAAGTATGTATCTTCGTTCATCCTTGCCGGGATCCAGCGGTCGATTAATTTCGCGAAAGATACTGCTCAGAAGACCGTCCGTCCAATCGCGCGTCGTAGGTTCCAGCGTTCCGTACAATTCGATAACCGTGCAAGCCTTCAAGAAACGCGACGATACAAAGAGATCTTTACTATAAAGATTAACAATGCTACTGTTACAATTAATTGTTATTCACCTTGGGATTCAAAATGTGTAATTTCGTGGGTTTACCAAGATGCGTCTGCGCCCTGCAAAGAGTTTCGATTACCACCGTCTTACCACCGCCGGTGGGACCGATGACCATCGTCGAATGCCTGATCATCATCACTTCGTGTAACTGAATGACTTTATCAACCTGGCAATCAAGTTATTATTATTTTTACAAATTTTGTTAATTCGAAATCTATTATATAAATAGATATGTATATGCGACGCGTTAAGGAGGTCTACATTATCGAGCTGAACCTCGATCGCAAGCCGAGCATCTATATTCACATTATTGAATCGAACTTTGTAAAGAAATTTCAGCTAAAAGCTCGTATCTAGGGTCAACTCGAGATTTAGCTCGATAATGTGGATCCTCCTTTAGAAATTTCGAGGACGCTATTTACTTGCTCAGGTAAAACAGTATAGCCATGTTCTTCCAACATCGCCTCGACCGCCTTGTTGAAATCCGGATAACGCGTTCTGGGACAATCCAAGTCGGGAAACAGATCCCTGATCAGACCGAGGAAGAGCGGCACGTCGTCGTACACAAACTTAGGTAAGTTCATGTCTCTGAGGGCTCTCATCAATACGACGTTCTCGGGCAAATCCTCGGAAGTCCTCTTCAGCTGGCCGGCCATGTTAAGCACCGATTTAAGAGCTCTCAGACCGAAATCGTAGTGCGTTTGCTTGCTCAGCTGCTCGTTCGCCAGCTTATAGAGAACAGTCATCTTCTTCGCGAGTACTTTCGCCGTCAGAAAACCGGCGCTGAAAAGCTTGATCTGGCAGATTAACTCGTTGTCCGGCACAATGCAGACCACTGGTCTAAAGAGGGCTTTAACGGACTCCGGTAACTCCGTACGACCGGCGTATCCTGGATTCATGGTGATAAAGATCCCCACTTTCGAGTCCAACACGATATCTTGTTCCTCAAACTTTTGGAGAAATTTTTGTCATTATAGGTCACAATATAAATTGGAACGTAATGTAGGAATTTATATTTAATGAAAATTTATTTATATTTATCATTGTGGACAAAATAATAAAGAAATTAATATAATCACATTTGATAAACAACATAGATTTGTGTGAAAAATTGAGAAGTATATTAGAACTAACGTAGACTTAAATTAAAAGAATAGAATTTTACAGAAAAATAAAAAAAAGTTTGAACCATTGCAACAAACATATATACGATAATTTTTACAATAATCTCTAAATAAATACAAATTATTATAGAGCTTATTTATATATATTATATATATAGAACGCTCTCTTCTTTTATTAAAATTATTCCATTAATTTATGAAGAAATTTCTCATATAATTGTAATTACAAATAATCGTATTATTTTTGTACTTTCCAGTTTCAATGGAATATATACCGTGAATCCTTGAGCTTTAACTTGCAGTGCCGAGCGTATAGTTTGCAGCTGGGTCGAAATAACGGAGAGAACAGAGCTGTCGATACGATTAAACTCGTCGAAGCAACCCCATGCCCCGCACTGAGCGAGACCGCCCAGAATCTTTCCGATCGTGATGTAATCCATTCCTTCGCCGCAATTAGTCACGATGCATAAGAGCCCCAGAGCTTTTGCTAAATCTTTAACCGTCTCGGTCTTTCCGGTTCCAGCAGGTCCTTAGTATTAAAAATTAAGAAGACTCAGGCTTTTGTAAGCTATTACTAAACCATTATATAATTGAAATAGAAATAAAAGTTAAAAATACAATGCGGTTTTGCGCATAATATCTTCGAATCCCATGTAATACTTCACTTTCTTTAACATATTTCCGCATTTATAATTTCAATGCTTTCTAAATTTGTTTTATCGTGACTGGGCAACATTTAAGATCGATGAGAAGCTATTAGACTTGACTCATACTCGAGAAATTTGCAACTCTGCCACATGCATATGCATAACATACCCGCCGGTGCACCGCCTAAGTGCATCGAGAGGGCTTGTGTGATAGTGAGGTATATTCTGTCAGTCAGAGGCGTAATGACCAATCTGCCATTAAGGCCCATATACTCGTAGCCATATTCGAAAGTGCCTGTGCATTGATTCATCCATACATTGTCCAGATCATGAACCCAGTAAAATCTACATACAAAAATAATTCGTCGGATAATAATTATAAAAGTAAGTAATAATACTTTTATAATATTTATTAATTTTTTATATAAAATTGTTATGATTATTCAAATAGTATTGTTTAATATCAATTATGGCCAAACGCTATTTTTACACAACAAAAAATTACCTCAATTGGCTCTCCCATTCAAATTCTGTGGGATCTACAATGCTGTCTCTGACAAAGCCTTCGATAATATCGCGAATATGCACGTCGATGGTCAAAATCATGTCAATCTTCTTTCTGTCATTATTTGTAAGCGTGCCGGTACCCATCAGTGTCACCACTTCGTTCAGTTGAGCGTTGAGTTGTTGTAAATACTGCATATATAAGAAAGAAATATTTTTTTATTCACGATAACAGACTGTATTCACAATTTGCACGTCTTACCTCTTTCATTGCGCGTTTATTCCCCTGGGATATTTTATCGAAAACATTCTCGACTTCTGCGGTCCACCATATCTGATTGGCTGCGAGAATCATCATTCCTTGAAACTCGAGTATCCACTCCGTTCTCGGCCTTCGCACCTATGTTTATAACTGTAGCTTTATGACTTTTATATAATGTTATAAAAATTATAAAATGTACAATTTTTAAAAAAAGAAAATTTTAATTTGCCAATTAGAGAAAGTTATTATCTCTAAGTGATACGTTGAAGATTAATACTCTTTCAGAAACTGAAAGAGTATAAAATGTTTTAGAAAAAAATTTTTTCCTGAAAAACGAAGGAATAGAGGCAATAATTTAATGTTAACCTTGCCGTAATTGTAGACCGCCTTCTTTGTCAAATATCGATTCGATCTCTTCATTTCTTCGAGTGCCAAACCCATCCAGATTTCGATCTGATCTTCCGTCGACACGGGATTCCTGAAATCCATAACTTCTCTTTCGCATGATACGAGGGCCGTGGCCATCAGTCGACCCATGCTGTCTGACAGTGCGAACTTATCGAGATTATCGAACATCTTTCCCACGTATTCCTGAATTGCCACAGGATTGCCACTGCCGAGAATGCCCAGCAGTTCGTCGTCGCTAATGAAATTGAATCTCGGGAATATAACGCGTTTGTTGCGCAAATAATCCGTCAAAGATTTTTGGCACTTCTCGAGGGCCGCTATCATGATTTCAAACTCGTCCTTTCTACCTAAATATTAATATAAATTTAAGAAATAAAGAATTATTTAAAACATAATTAATTTTTTCGGATGTTTGTTTTATTTGATCTTTTTTGCATAGTTTATATTTTTTTAAATTCAGCTTAAATAATTAAAAGACACATTGATTTCTCTTGAATACCATAAATCGTGCAACATTCCAAAACATTGAGTCGCTTCGACGTGTCAGTCATGATTTTTTGGAAGGCTTGATCGATATCATCGAATCTCTTCGTCTCGTCCGGCAACTGCAAGCGAATGTCGCCGCCCACGAAAATGCCCTCGAGATACAGCCACTTTTGTTGAAGGTCCACCCACACTTCCAGAACTTCGGAGATCGTGTGCATCGTGCGTTCCCATTTTTGTACGACGTTGAGAAACGGCCCGATGAATTGCGAGGCTGCCATGCTGTGCACGGTCAACATGTTGTCTTCGAGCACCAGATTCAATTCGTCGAGTGGTCCAAGAATAAAGCCGCGGTCTTCTATGCCTGAAAAATGCAATGAATAATTGTAGGATTATGCAATATCTTTCTTGCAATTAATTCCTCATTTTTGCGACTCTGATGAAATATTATTTTATTAATTTAATTTAATTCAAGTCTTATTTACTCGCATTATTTATCTATTAATAATTAGACGCAGATTTTTTTAACCTTTGTAATGTTTTATCATGTTGAATTCCATGGATTTCCATACTTCAGCTAATTCTTTCACGCCTCTTTCTATCGAAAGCTCTTTCACGGCATACATTACAATATCTTGTGCGATATCTTGATACTTTCCCAACTCCATAGCGAACATATTTTCTAAAGTGAATCTGAAATGATCCAATATTCGTTCTATCATATTTATGTACTCGAAGCGAATGTATTGTGTGCGGCTTGAAGGCTTACCCCTCTATGGTAAAAGATTTTTCTTGCGCCATGTTTATATCACTTAAAAATGTCTGTATAATTAATTATATTTTTACAGGATAAATATCAAACTACACGCACTTGAGTGAGTTTACATTAGCCATTAACAATTGATTATGTCTCTCGTCACGATATCTATAAAAATAATTTTAAAAAATTAGAAAATAATATTCATATATACTTGTTAATTTAACTGAAAAATTATACATTGATTATCATTATTACTTTGGAACACAACTCATATTTTACAGTGGCAACGTTTACTATGCACGCAAATAAGAAAAAATATAGATTTGCTCGTATATATTCAAAATTCATAAATATTGCACGTTTAGTTATAATTGCATGTACTACACAAATAAAAATAATATAGATGACATCAATATTTAGATATAATAAAAAATACAAAAATGCTCGCAATTGTCACAATTCGCATGTATAATAATCCTTCTATACGCTTATACATATGTTATTTCTATCATCTTTCTTGCAATTAAAGTCGCAGTCCACCGCGTTTATATCGCACTTATAATAAGCACTCGCTTAATTATTCGTCATCCGCACACCTGTCCGGGTCCATATCGAAATACTGTCCGGTCCTTCTCATCAACTCTTGCCAATGTCTCTCGCGCATAGCCTCGTTCTTCAACTCGATGAAGAGCGGCACCGAGTTCTTGAAGTTCCTCATATTGGTCTCCACTGCGTGGCCGACGTTCATACTTCTGATGGATTTCGGCAGACGTCGGAACTCCCGTATGAAGTGTTCCATACCATCGATGAGCTGCTGTGGATTCAAGTTCACCCAGAGAGTCTTCGCCCAGACTTCTCGCGCGTTTCTCTGCTCCTTGTAGAGATTGTACAGCACCTCCATGCCATCGTATTCCGTCTTGATTTTGAGGAGAGTTGAATAGTCGGAGGACGGTAGGCCGAACAAGTTTTCTAATTTTATCAGATCCAGCCGCCTTTCCTCGTACGTGTTGATCAGCTTGCCATATTCCTGTGAATAAGAACGAAAAAATCTCATAATTTCTGACTTTGTTCTTATCGAAGATACGATATCATTTGGAAAATTTAGAAAAGAATAATCAAAATTTGAAACGGAGAAAGAAGTTTAGAAAAGTGGTTTTAAGAAGATAATCGCGTAATTATTGTTTATAAATATTTTTTAAAATTTCACATACATCCATTTTCTTCAGTCCGAGCTCGAGATCGTCCTCGACGCTTCCGGGACCGAGGGCCTCAAACTCTTCAGCGAGTATCGCGGTTTCAGCCAAAAACTGTTGGATCTGCTCTTGAGTTAGCTCGGAAAATTTGTCGCTAGTGGCTTCCAAAGTCAATTGCCTGTAGAGCGCTTCAAGGTACAACGACTCCCAGTCGCGTTGCAAATCATACGCCATCGCTTCGTCCGACGAGGAGTAGACGATCCCGTGGGCGCGCACAGTTTGAAAACACTCCTGATAACAGAGAAACTGCATCTCGGCTTGAATCGCCGTATTTTTCACGTCGGAGATCGCCTGCATAATCGACACAAAACGATCCAGCCCCGTGACCACCAGCTCGATATCGCCGCGAAAGGTGTCGATTTGAGTTTTCAGCTGGTTCATAGCCAATACAGTGTCGGAGAGAAGATAATTCCCTAAAACCTGCTTCCATTCTTTCGCTTGACGCTCGATGCTTGATAAAAGCGGTTTCAGGTTGAGCCTTCGAAAAGAAAGGAGCATAAATCAAGGTACAACAGAATTAAAAATAGAAAGTTAAATTTATTATAGTATATTTTGGATTTTTGTTAATATTTTTCCCTTACTAGAATATTTTTCCTCTAAAAATTTAATTGTCAAAATTGTTAATATTCTCTCCTAGAAAATTGATAGGAATAATTACTTATTTTGAGTATTATAGTCAAAGTGCTTTTAACAAATAAGTAATTATTTAGCCTCTCCAGCATTAAATTATTATAAATGTTTTCGTTAATTGAAAGTACGTGAAATTTCACATTTGCATAAAACTAAAATATTAAATCGATGCCGTCTTTACCGTACACTGTTTATATCGAAATAGGACGACATGTCTTCGACTTCCTCCAGAATGCCTTCGTAAAACGTAAACTTCTCGTCGTATTGTAAAAGCGTCGGTTTCGTCGACGCGAATTTCTCACAAGCCAGATTTTTATCAAATGACCACAAGTTGCTGTATTTCTTCCATCTATACAGATATCGCCAGCATTCCGCCGAGATCTTATACGCCGTGTCGTGAACCACTTTCACGAGCTCGTTAATTATCTGCAGTAATTTTAAATCTTAAATTGCATTCAAGCGCGTTAATGATAAATTTGTTGAAACACATTTATCGTTAAATTTAATAAATCGTGATGTTACGTGAAAATCGATTACTCAACTCGAACGCTCATCACGTCCTCGAAGAAACTGAAAGTGACTAAATTCTCCGAGAGCTCTCTTCTCATCGGCTTGCACTCCAAACAAGTTCCATTCATCCACCTGGAGAATCCTTTCAGTCTTTCGAGCAAATCTCGCACATCGTGACAAATGGTGCTGAAGATCTCGTTGGGTGCCGGACGTAATATCACTTCGGACGTTATTAATAACGCGTCTGCTTGGAATAGCAGTTTAGTGTTATTTAACATTTTGTTCAAAACTTCCATGTTTCTTACCATACATCTAGAAAGGAGACCGAACGACATTTTGACAAAATAAAGAACTGATTTAAATGCAATTATCATTTTTTCCGATAAAATAAAAGATGTGTACATTATAAAGGCGGCGAAAATTTTCTTTTCGTATTTTTCGTACAAAAGCTGCATGGCTGGATTTGTCCCAGTCGAAGTACCCAACACTATGCTTTCCAGTTTCACAAGCATCGGACTAATCGATTGATAAGTCTTTAACATCGACGACACTAACTCGGATCGGCGATTTTTTATTTCCATAAAATAACTCTATAAAAAAGGATATTTTTTAAAATCAAATTAATATTAAATTAATTAATATTTGATTTGATTTTTTAAATAAAATATTGAGTTTTGAGTTGATAAGTATAAATTCTCAATTATACAACTTTGGTACAAGTTTATAGTGGTTTTATAACCACTCTCAATTTATCGCATTTTCTTGGAAAAGACGGTAATAAAAGCTAAAGGGCAAAGGCAGACTAACAAAATTGTTATAAAAATACATAATTTTTTAAATTTACTTTTCGTTAAATATAGAACATTTCCATCAATTTGTATTTTATATTTATAAGACTGTATACAAAAAGACTGTATCAAGACTGTATATAAAAGAAAATTTATAATAAAATTAGTACAATATTAGTACAATACCTACCTGGCAGGGCAAGAGAACCTCTGCGTCAGCGACTTTCTTCTTCGTGGAAAACAGATGGTACGATTGTAATTCAGATTCTATTCGGTTATCAAGCTCCTTCTTTATCTGATTGACTTGCTCGACGATAGACTGCAAGTTTTTCAATATTGTATGACAGGCGGCCGCATAATCCGAGATGCTCAGGGAATTCCAATTGAACCGCGTCACTCCAGGCTGAATGTTCTTCTCGACATCCTCTAGCGTCTGCTTCAGCAGTTGTATGTCCGCTCGGTCCAGCGTATCCAGGATGTTGTTATAGTGATCGATCATTTTCGTGGTGGTGTCGATATCCGCTCTCAGCCGATTCTTTTGAATGCCAACGTCTCTGATAGGCGCCGGCAATTCGAAACCCAACTGCTCCATCAGCTCCGCCTCTCTGATGACCTCGAACACCTCCCAGTCGAAGTTGATCTGAAAGCGCAGCTGACACTCCACCAGAATGGCGCCGCTCATGAACTCCGGCCAGGTGATCTTCGCGCGAGCGAAGTCGTGCTTGTCAACGGACACGGTCGAGGTTTTGTCGTCCTTCAACGAAGATCCTCTGGTGTCGGCCTTCATTTCCGCGCGTGTCTGCATCATGGAAATGACTCTGGAGGCGGCGCTTTCGACCTCAGCGCTCGGCTTCGAGATCACGCCGTGATCCATCTTCAACAGGGAGTCAGGCGGAGTCGACAGAATGGAAGCCGCGTCCTTGCCCTTCATCTTCGACGTTACATGAAACAGCTGAAGGTCCTTCGCGAGTCGCTCCTTGTCCGGGAAAGTCAAAGTGGCCGGAGGCTCCCGTTCCACTCGTACTATCCTCAGCACGCTCTTCCTCATGACGGTGGTCACCGTGAGCAGCGCCTTATCGAGCCACGCGTTGAACTTCGCTTCTTCAAAATTCTTCAGCTGTTTCGCGAGATCGAAGTACTGCTTGAACGCGACCAGTTTCAGCTCGCTGTGCTTCAGCTCGCCCACCTGTTGGAATATCAGCACCGGTCCGCGCAGCCTGTGGAACAGCTGTTTCACCCAGAAGATCGCACCCGCCATCGGCGGATGATACGTCAGCAACGGCGGATGGCGTTTGCCATGGTTATATATGCTCTCCACGATGTTGATCTCCTTACTGAACTGCTGCATGATGATGTCGAATTTTCGGAGCAGCTGACGCTGAATCGCGGCCCGGGTCTTCATCCTCTTAAACTTAAGTAGCATCTCCAGCGAATTCTCGGCGTTGATCAGCACCATGAAGCACTCGTCGATGTAGAATTTCGCCTGATCTTCCAGAAACGTCACCTGCTCGTAGAACCACGCGGTTAGCGCCTCCCAGTTCTCCCTGTTGAACACATTGAAGATATCGAAGTCGGCCTCTTCGATCGGCACGACCAGCGCGTCCACTCGCTTCACCACGGCGTCAATCTGCGCCGGATCGTCTATGATGGACTTCAGATCGGGCCCGAAGATATTGTAGAAGTCCTGCAGGACACCGGCGATTTTGTGAAGGTCGCTGCACACCTCGGCAATGTACTCCGTGTTTTGGAAGAGGCGCTTCTGATCGAACTCCCAACGGGCACCCTTCCCCGACAATTCGATGTCCTGTCTGGTCTTCAGGTACGACCGTTTCCATTGTCTCAGCATCGCGCTGGCCATGCTCGTCCTCTCCAGAATCTCTTCCAGAGACTTTTTGAACAGCAGGGTAATCGCTAAATTCTGTTTCACATTAGCGCAGAGCTGCCACGATATCCGATCCATCAGTAGCATCATCCTCTCTTCACGGCAGTAATAACTCGACAACACCCAGAGCATTCGCAATCCCTCCATCAGCGAGGGCATGCACTCCGATATAGACTCGAACGAATCCGATTCGGTAATCAACTGCAATGTTGATAAACAATCAAAGTGTATTATTAAAATATTTGTATGAATTCTTTAAAAGCATATTCTTTCATTCATTTAAAATTAGCTTTTCTTTAAAGATTTATTTGGCGCGATATATTTTCAATTGTTTAATTTTTCATATTTAAAATAAGTCTTTATTGGTTAATTTTATCCTTGAATTACAATTTGCAAACAGATTTTTGTATATTTATAAAAGATCTATATAAATATCTGAATATTTTCTAAACTGATTTAAAAACACATCTAAAAATATTTGTCTTAACATTTTAATATCGTACGTTATTACGATTGAAATAAATAATTTTTGAAATCTTTACCTTAAAGTATCTCAACAAAGTTTGAATAAACTTATTGTTGTCCCTGGCTTCGACATAGTGCTTCCAGAGCTCGGTCTGGAAGTAGTGAAAGCTGGAGGCGATCGGCGAGACTGCTTGTTCTAAAAGAGCAAGAATTCTCTTAACGATGGGCATTTTTAACTGTTCAACCAGCATCGTTAATCTAGTTTCGCAATCCTGCCAGTATTGATACTCGGCTATCGGTCCCTTCCCCGGAAGTACTTTGCTCTCGTAAGACTCTATTATCTGAAATACAAAAATAAAATAAAATGTTATGATATGTGATTGTTATTAATCTATTTTTTAATATACATGAACAAATCATTTTAATTATCACGATTTATATATTTTTTAATATTCATGAACAAATCATTTTAATTATCATCAACGTATGTCACTATGTCAATTTTGCATATTTTTAAGATCGACAATTTAGAACGCTGCATGTATCGCAAGTAATCCAAAATGATAGACAAATTACACAAAAAGTATTGCGAAAGAGAAATTAAATTACTCGCCTTCAGTATATGTTTTTCCCATGACATAACTACATCCTCCATTTGTTCAACAATGTCCTTATTCTTCAGTAACATATCGTCTGTTATTGTAGGATCGTTCAGCTCTGAAATCTTCGGCATTGTCAGCAAGATATCGCCTTCGACATGCTCCAACGTCCTATCGTTACCAAAATCAAAAAGCTATTAGTATAGAAGAAGAAAATTCAAAAATGGATACGGTAATATTTCTCAATCTTTGATATAAAACAATGAGACGAACCACTCCGTCTTCTCGATTAATTTATCAAGATAATCTAAAATGTCTCTCTTGATCTGCTCGGTCACTGGTTTTCTTATTTCCTTCGAGCTAACTGATTTGCTGGACTTGGACTCCGAAACGGACAATTCGGATCTTTTATCGAGTCCTTTCAAACTTGACTTCAGCTTTCTATTCCTTGGGGTCTCGTCCTGCAAAGTGGCCATGGACATTGCGGTATTTTCATCGTCTCCCCCCCCCTTTTTTCTTGCCGCCAGATCTTGTCGGGATGCTATACTGGACGCTGTCACGAAATGGGACGGTCTTCTCAACACTGATCTCTTTAACAAAGGATAAAAATCTTGAAATCATTTATTAATAATGTATTAATTTATTATTTATCTGAATTAATACGTGTGATGTACAAGAGAGAGAGAGAGAGAGAGAGAGAGAGAAAAGACAACGAGAAAGGAATTTAAAATCTTGTAAAGAATATTGTTAAATAATATTTTATATATTTAAAACTCTCGTTAGCGCAAATGTTAATTTCGCGACACTTACTCTCTTCACTTCCCATCGCTCGCGAATATCCGGCGTTCTGAACTGATTTTCCACCAGTGGTTTAAATACCTATAGCGTTTAATTTTTTACACATTAATTCAATTACAATTTAAAACATTTCAATATACTATATCTAATGCAATATATTATTCTTGAAATTATGACACTGAAATTTTTGTGTTTTCCAAAAACTCAGCTATTATATTTTCATAATTTTATAATCAAAATGTATATATAAGGGTATCTAAAATGTATTTATACGAAAAAAAATAATAACGTTTAAATGTGCGGTGCTATAATTTATTAGGATAGCTCGTAGTTGTAAAAGAGGCGTAACAATACGATCGACTAGATAAAAAAGGATTGTTATCAGAATCAATCGCGATTATGTCGAACAGTGCTTACGTCGATTAGTATCATATTCAAAGATAACAGGAAGTTCCTGCCGAGCGAGCCGACCACCAGGTAATTCGTGATCTCGTCGAGGCACTCTTCGTAGGTATCGAAGGAGGGTATACCCTCGTCGCCAGTGCGCATAAAATAGAAGAACGTGACATCCTGCAGGTCGGTTCTACTGCCGTCTACTTGGCCGGATATCATGTGAAGCACCGGTATCTGACGAACTTTCTCCACCATTTTCTGCAATTGCCATAGATCGCGTAGTTTACGATCGGTTACTCAACGTCGGTACGCTTTAACTGCGGTTTAAATCGATTACTACATTGTCTCCTTCTGAAGCTAGAACTGAAGGAGACAACGAGTCGGTTGAGCTATAGGATTAACTGTCACTGGTGAAATCAAAGCTAAAGTTAACGATCGCTCGTGATTGGGTGTTCTCTTTCTTAGCGAGGTGAATTTTTTCCTTGTATACAGAATTAATTGTTTAAAATGATAATAATAAATGACTCAGATATAGTTATTGCTATGATTTAATTATAGTTATAATTCAAATATTATATTTAACGCGGATTAACCTTCGTTAAAACGTATTTGTCCTCCTCCCCGGGCGGTGGTCCAACAACGGAACTGTCTGAAGAAATTAACTGATTATTATATGCCATTTATGTTGCGTTGATAGAAAAGCAATTAAAATAAAAAATTAGCATTTTTGACTCGGATTACGTTTCTAGTAACGCAATAATAGATGTTCAATACAAATAAAATCTGTACGAAATTATAGAAGCTGACCAACAGACACGCTTTTCAAATCTGCCTTTTTTTTAGGATAAGTGGGAAAATCGCCACTGCCGTTTTGCTCTCCATCGTCTTCCTTCTTCTCTTCCTCCTCCTCGCTGGACTCTTGTGCACTGGGAGTAGGCAACGTACTGATGCTCGTTGCCGTGCGACTAGCAACTGAATTGGTATCCGTTTTGTCTTTAGCTTTACCTCTTTTATCCTTTTTCGCGAATCTTTTATCTTTTTTCCTTTCGTCATCGTCGCGTTTCTCCACTTTTCCTAATGTTATTAAAAAATGTCATTTTATGAAAGATTGTTTTTTGTCTGACTAGAAAGTTTCTAAAAATATTACGCTTACGAAATACTGCACGCTTTCATTAAGCATGATGCGTTTATGCATAGAGATAGCTTATGATTTTTATGCAAACCCCAATTACTTATTATTATTAAACATACCAACCATTTATCAATTATTTTACCGATTATTAATTTAAATGTTTAGCATTATTTGTATATTAATATAATATTTAAAATTTTTTAACAAATATTACAAAGTGTGATTTCTCGTAGATGTACAATTTTGGCGAATTATAAGATTTTTGAAAAAACATCTGATAAATTTGAAACACACTCTCTCTCTCTCTCTCTCTCTCTCTCTCTCTCTCTCTCTCTCTTTAAAAATACATTTTATCTTACTTTCCTCCCACACTGAAACCTCCTCCTGAAATACTTCACTGACGTAAGTTTTGTAGAAGAAAATCAGTTTCTTTTCTAGATCTGTCACTCCAAACAAGTCTAATATGAGAAAGTTGAGTAACTTATCCTCGAAATATCGATTATTCGCCTAATATTAAAGATAGATATTAATTTTAATCTTTAAATTATGCATCAAGAAAGATATATTACGTAGTAATTCAAGTAATTACGTTAATAAGTTTGTCGAAAAGATGTTCGTGGCCCGTCAGTCCGAGAAATTTCAAAATTCGATCGCGAATCCATCTTATTCTGTTTTTAATAAAACGCCATTTAATACATTTCAGGAACAACACAAGCTTCACGAATAATAATATACTCAATGTTAATACAATACAAAAAATTTTATTAATTGTACATACCGATAGTCCATATACGAAACAGACAATTCATCTTTTTCGCTTAAACTTTTCTGTTCGTCCTCTTGCCTCTTTTCATCTTTCTCATTAATATTTTTCTCCATGTTTATATGTATATGTCATCGAAAAATGCTATTTAAAATTTCTTTGTTATATAGTTAATTTAATTAATATTAATTACCTTTAATTACGATTAATTCTTTAAAAATAAGTCATATCTCGGAATGCTTAATAACCTTGTATCTTTCACTCCGAAATAATAGGATCGTACTTCACACGATTTATTTCGTCCATGTTTTTATATAGGTAATATTTCAGTTCATTTCTTTAAAAGCTTACATTGAAAAGATCGATACTGTTTTATTTACAACTGATTGGAGAAATCGTTATACTGTTCTTCAGTGTTTAATGCTTCTCGACTTAATTGAATCGCCTTTGAAGAATACTGCACGCTGCACGGTGAGAAACTTGGACGCCGTCGCCGTTGCCATGGTGAATAAACGCTCTTTCGATGTAGGAGTATGTACAAGGTAAGGGTAAGTATTTATTGATTATACACAGTAAAATTCGTATAACGAGACAGATTTTAGTTTCGAAAGAAAAGAGAATGCGGAGAACCTTGGGGTTAGACGAGATACAAAATAATCGCAGTGTTACGTATGTTCTCCCGCACTCACATCGGATACACACATTGTTACACATACACGCTGTTCTCTTATATAGATGAGCAAGACACCGTTTTGTAAAATATTACGAGTGTTCATCGACGCTCATTATCGCGAATAAATCGACAATAAAATCCATTTTACAAGGTCTATAAACGTCTTATCTATATGGTCACAATAGAAAATACATATATATTTTGGCGTAAAAAAAAGTAATTATATATGCATGAGTTCAAACATGCGTAAATAACATTCCATTTTTATCGTATTAACTAAACTTCTCTTGATTAACAATCTCTTGATTAATACGAACGAAAGGTTAATGTATTTTCAAATGCATATCTCACTATTTACTTGAAGAGTAACATAATATATATTATATTCATAATATTATTACTTCAATATTTGATATTTAAATATATAAAAATAGGATTTTCTATAAAGTTTCGATCTTTCTATAATATTAAATTAAGCTTCATGTATGGAATATTTAAAAAATTTTCGTTATATCTCTTTTAAATAACATAAACATCAATAGATTTTGAGTTTGCTGTCTTTATTGTTTAATAAATTCTTTTAATTAATTTCTCGTAATTATAGAAAAAATCAAGAATCAATTATAATTGACCGACGTTTGATGAAATTCAAGGGAATCGCAGGAATCTTGAGTTCCTAATTTTTCAGAGATCTCTTAAACGTCTTTCAAATTCTCATGTTGCTCAGCTTCCAAAGTTTCGTTTTTCGGAGCTTCGTTTTCCACGATGCTGGATCCGTTTCTACCGCTTTCGCCGGCGTGCTCGTCGATCAATCCTCCGAGGACTGCTTGAACGTACTCCTCGCGACCCTCGTTGGAATCTAAGGAGAATCCCAGAGAAGGGACGAACTCGGTCTCGACGGTGGTCTTCGCGGATTCCGTCGTTGTGGTCGTTCCCTGCGTCGTCGACGTCGTTGTCGCCGTCGTTGTCGTTCTCGTAGTGGATATTGGACTTTCCCCTTCAGTTTCGTTAGTCGCATACTCGCTCTCATCTATCAGCAAACCGGTCTCGAAATTCAAGCTCTTCTGCACTTGCGGCAGATCAAAGACGAGCGGTCTGCGGAATGGGTTGCCGCGATAAATAGGCTGCCCGAAGCTTTCCGTCAATTGCTCCAGGATCTCCTCCTTCTGAAGTGGCCGAGCGATTCTGCTTTCCGTTCTCGACTGCAGGCCCGTTTTTCGTTCCGTGGCATTGTCAGAGTCGACCCTCGAAGAAACATCAGCAGGCGGCTTCAAATCAACGTCAATAGACATTTTCGTAGTATCGTCCAAGGAAAATGTCTTGAAATCTGTATCTCCAAACGATTGTATTTCCGAATTTGTTTGCGAGTGATCCAACAGCGGGCTCCCCGTGGCGAACGACGGTTTATTGAAGTTCCGTGACGCTTTCGATTCAGCAAATTTAACGGGTGTCTTCAGAGCAGCCGTCTCAAAGGCAGATCCCTTGAGATTCGCGTTCTTGTACGTCGTTCTGCTTTGCGGACGGCTCAACGGTGGATCCGTCGCGTCGTACGTTGATTCATCGAGATCCAGGTTGAACGAATCCTTCAGCTCTACGCTGCTCAAGTCCTTCGTCGAAAATGGCCGCGGCAGTCGATCTAATTTCAACAGCTCCGCCATCAGTTGGAGCAGACTCACCATACTCATATTCGAGTTCGATTGTTTAAATTCGCTGATTGTATCGTTTTCAACAGCGTAAAAATTACTGTTGCTCGCATCGTCCGGAGGGGGGTGACTAGTTTCGTCGGGAGGTTTCGACGTCTGTAAAACGCTGGTGATCCCCGTTTCCGGTTCCACAGACCTGATAATCTCGAAATCGTCCAGCTCGTCCTTCAAAACGGAATCCGATCGCTGGTGCTGAGCGATAAGTCGGCTGATAAAGTCGTCGGCGGTCGTATCCAGATCGTCGTCTTTTTTTACCGTGAACGATACTTCGTATGGAGAATCGTGTTTCTCGATCGCCTCCTCGATCTGTTTCAAGGATCCCGGACGGATTGAGTGTAACAGACTATTCGCCGTCGTGACCACCGACCTTTCCGTTTTTTCTTCCGGATTTTTAATCTCTAATGCAGCCCTCGGCGTAACCGTCTTCAAACTTGAATCTTCTTCTATATCAACATCGCTGTTAATCGAAGATTTTGCAGTAGACGTCGAAGATTCAGGAACAGGTGTCGAAGATTCGTCAGGAGCAAATGTCACCGGTTCTTCAGGTGATTTGAGGCTCCTCGTGCTACCCGAAAAGGTCAGTTGTCCCGGAATCCTCGTAGTCGCTTTCGTACCAATCGAAATTGTCCTTTCTCTTACACTCGGCGTGGAAACTGCAACTTCGGGAGCGACCGAACTCGTCTCGCAACTGACTCCCTGTTCGTCGGAGGTCGAAGAGCATCCGGAACTCGCTTTCAAATCCTTCTGAGCATTGATAGCGTCTCTGATGGTGAACTGGAATCCGGTGTTGTAGCGGACTAGAATGTCCGCTTCGCTGTCGTTCTTCTTTCTTTCGTTCGTCGTTCCTTGCGAGTCCACGAACTCCGTGTGATCGAATTGCTCGGTGTACGAGCGTTCGTCTGGCGGGACAAAGTCATCGAAGCCGTCGTTGTAGTCGACGATCGGCGGGACGATGTCGGTCACGGGCACGTCGACGATCGAGCGATCGCGCCACGTAGAGACGAGCCATGGAATGGACGTGGACACCTCCGCGACCAGCTGAGCGGTCGAATGAACTCCTGAACTAGTGGGCGTCTCCGAAAAGCCCTCGTCGGTGTAATCAATCAGCTCGTCGTATATCGGCGGTTGATCCTCGCTGCTTCCGGCGACGCTGGAAAATCGCGGAGTCTCCGTGGTCGTCGTCTCGGGGCTCCAGGAAGTCTTGGAAGTCTCATCGATCGTCGTATAGCGCGTTTCTTCAGGTACGTTAATGAGAAAACGTTCCAGCGGAGGCTTCAAGAACTGCGCCGGTTCGGGAACCTCCAAGCTGAGATTTATTCTCGGCACGGACTCGTCGTTGAAACTGGAGGTTGACCCGGTCGACGACGAATTCTGGTCTTCGGCTGTGCGGCTGTCGTTGGATGAAGAGCGACCAGTGACCTTATCGTGAATCTCATCGCTTGTCTCAGTTGCATTTATCGCAGGTGTCGCAGTCATTGATACGGTCGACGCTTGCACAACGTCAACGTCTTTTTGTTCCGAATTTCGCAGCAGCGAAGTCGTTCTGTCGCCGAAACTTCTCGTCGTCGAGACATCCTCGTAATCTTCCGTCGAACCGTCGTTGCTCGTTTCGTTGAAAATATCCGACTTCTTCAGGGCGTCCGATGAGTCCGCGTCGTCCGCTTTCTCATCGTAAGATCCCGAGGAACGATTTGAAACTGTCTGCAATGGAACAGGAGTGGTCGGAACTCTTCGCTCATCCTTCGACACCTGGTACGCAGGATTTTGATTTTGTATAATAATCCTGCCGAGTGGATCATTCCGATTATTCAGCGCTCGAGCGATCCCGATGCTGTCCTTCGTCTCCAAGCTGTCCTCCGAGCTATCCTCGGTGTCGTCCTGGATTATCGGCCTGTCATTCTGCTGCCTAAACACCTGGTCCTCGTCAATCGCGTCGGTTATATTGATCCTGAAACTCATCTCCGACGTCCCCTCGGCGCGCAGTTCGTCACTCTCGGAGCGAGCACTATCGCCTCTTCGATCGTCTTTGTCCGTTCCCGATGACGAGGCGTTCTCCGATTTCTTCAGATCGCCGTGTCCCGTTTCACTCTCTCTCAAATCAATCTTCCTCGTGTCGTCATTCCGATGAGTAATCGTGGGAGGGGTCATCGGGCTTTTGCCGCGCGCAGCGTAAAGGTGATCGGAGCTATCCACCATCAAATCCAGCTTGCTGTAGGCCAATGTGGAAGGTCGATAGGTCGTCGGGACCGTAGGCGAGTAAAATCGTCTGGTGGTGGTGGTAACGGTGGGTACGGTAGGCGCGTAAGACGTCTGTAACTGATTGGTGAAACCGTCGGGTCTGCGATAGTCGTCCTGAAACTCGTTACCGCCGGCTCGATCCTGATAGTCGTGTCGAATGATCGCGGACGCGTGATAAGGCGATTGCCCCTTGTTCTCGAGATGGTGCAGCTTGCCCTGATACGGCGTGCTCACCTTCTTCTGCTGGTAGCGTAGATCGTAGTTGAGGATCTGCCGCGCGTCCTGCTGCGGATAGTCCTCGAAACCGCTCGGCAGGTCGTTCCCGGTCGCCTCGACGGGAGCGTAGTCCGTGATCCTGCGGAAACCGGGCGTGTAGCCCATCACGGTCCTGCCGCCGCCGAGCGCGGAATAGTCGATGATCCTGGCGCCGCTGTCGGGATCCACCAGACCGTCCTTGGTGACATCCTCCGCGGAGGCCTGCAGGCTGATCATCGCGTACGCGTTGCGTATCATCTCGTCGTCGTCGATCTGATAGCTATTGCGATTCACTTCGAGGTATCGCCTGGTGGAGGTGCAGTCGACCTTGGTCCACCAGTCGCATGTCAGCAGCTTCTGGCTGAAAGTCGAGCCAATCGGGCACAGAAAGGAGGACACCAGCACATCGTGACATACGTGAAAGACCTGGCAGCCGGCCGCTTCGTCGGCGTAATAACCTGTTGAGCAATCGTACACAAACGGATCTTCGAATTATAATTCTTATTCACATTTCTTAGAATTTGCCGGAAAATAATATGTAACATTCCATTAAATTCCTATTATAATTATTTATAATATACACGGAGAGAACAATTGCTGAAAGATCAAAAAATTTGGATTTAAAAATAATTTTGTTGGAAACTTAAAAATGATAAGTGTATTGCTGTAAAACATTTTTATATTCTAGCAATCAGTTTGACTTTCCAACAAAATTATTTTGATGGTCCAACAAGAATTATTTTCAGATCTGCATCAAACAAAATTTTTAGATCTTCCAGTAAAATCGTTCTTTCCGTAAAATTTTCGAAAAAAGTAAAAATTAAAGATTTGCAATAATAAGTGTACATTTTATTATCGCAGTTTGTATTAACATTATTCCTGTAATATTCTGCATAAAACTTGTACTTTTATTATAAAATAGATATTAAAGAAAATAATAATAATACTTTTACAAGACGTTGCATAAAAATTGACTGAAAAGGATTTAGAAGTAAAATTGAAGCAAGTTTCCTCGTAAATCATAAATAAAATATTATTCAATAAGTCTTTATAATATTAAAACTAATTTGGAGATACATAATAAGAGAGGGCATACAGTATGTAATTGGATTATGATTGAGCGAGTATATAAAATGAATGTTCATGAGGATTAGAAATTCGTTATGTGACATAATAAATACGTAGATTTCGTTTATGTAACAACTGTACGTAGTCTCGTCCGCGTGCGGTGCTCTTTTTGTGCACTTCATCTTTCCCTCGAATTATCTAACATCTGCGGTCAACGTAGGCGAGGTATTACATTCACTACAATATCGTGGAAAATTAAAACGAAACTATGTATGTGCAACGCATGCTTTTACCAAAAATCGAATGATAATTCTGCTTGATTTACTGAGAAACCGGTAATAGGAAGTTGAGTGATTTTTTTTATCTTAGAAATTATCTTATTTCAAGCGCTAAACGACTGTCAGACAAGGATTACATTAGTGAGCTCATCAAGTTTCCATTTCTCAATTCTATGTTATATCATGTCATTTGTGAAATCACACCTGCAATTAATATGCTTATATAAAATTATAGCAATGTTTGCAAATTACATTGATAAATGGTTATAAAATCACACGAGTGAAATGCGAATATTTATATATATATGATTATAAGAAAAGAAAATAATATTTTACAATTAGTAAAGTAATTTATTTTATTTTCATAATCAGGATTAAAAGAATTCTAATTTTTGATTTATTAAAATAATTAATATTAATATTCATACATATGATTATAAGAAAAAAGAATAATATTTTAGTAAAGTAATTAATTTCATTTTTATGATTAAATTTAAAAGAATTATAATTTTTGATTGATTAAAATGATTAATCTGTTACAATTTTAATTCTCTCGGGCGTAAAAATTTATGTAAATTACGCTCATATGACGAACTTACAAAGGTTAACGAAATTAGCGAAACAAAACGCGCGATCGGTACTTAGCCCATTCTTCAATTTAATCAATTTGAAATGCTAAAATCGAAATATTCATCTTATTTGATTTTACAACACGTTAAATGTTACGGCGATGTTACTGGCGTGTTTGAATCGTATAATGTATGTATGTACATACATATGGTAGAGACAGAGAGAGAGAGAGAGAGCGCGCGCGCTATCGTTTAATTACCGCGCGCCTTTTCGCACGCCGGGGCTCGCGCCGCCGATGCGCCGCCGTTACCGGCAGGCAGGAGTGGCGGGGGTGTGAGATGCGCGGGCTGCGCGGCGGCGGCGGCGCGAGCCGCAGGTGGTTGCGTGAATTGGCCGCGATTTACGAATTTGCTGCACTGCATCTCCGCCATGTTAGATTTTTTCGGTGCGCTAATCGGCGAAGCGTCGCGGATCGTGGCTTGCGTTACTTGCGTATAATTAGATACGCGTACGTTTGTCGCGTTATTCGTCTCGTCGTGATGCAAGAGAGCATCGCCCGTAGAGTGTGCGGTCGACATTCTGGAGTCTGCAATGCGACGCATTGGTGATTAACGCGCGATCGTAATTAACCGTTTTGCGCGAGTGAAGTGATGTCGTATCAGTGTGGCGGAGCAACACGACGCGGAGGTCTGAGAGGAGGAGGAGGAGGCCCGGGGTGGCGTCCAGCACCGGCGAAGCAACCGTGGGTGAGTAAACAATTAGCTATTTAATTATTTATATTGCGAGATAAATCATTTACCTTCGCGACAATCGTACTTGCACGCAGCACTTTGCATTATTGTGCGACACCATACGGATAAAGAATTTCGGATTATTTTGAGATGCATAAGTAAAAAGAGTGCTTAATGTATGTATATAATATTTACAATTAGTATTGGTATATCAAGTTACAGGCGTCCCCAAATCTCAGCTCGCGAGCTGAATCCGCTATCACCTCTCTCTCGTCTCGATCGAGCGAGACGGAGAGTAAACAAAGCAAGGATAGACGCTAGAGCTCCAAGCCAAGCAAAGCTCCGGTGCCTGTCCTTGTTTGTTTACTCTCTGCCTCGCTCGATCGAGACGAGAGAGAGAGAGATGGTAGCGTTTCAGCTCGCAATTCTCGCGACTCTCACGAGATTTAGATAGTCTTATTTTAAAGATTTTTATCGATAAACGAATAGAATATTTCATGTATTTATACAAAAATTACACTTTTTTAATTATAAGAATTAAAATTTTGTATTATTAAATTTTAAAAAAGTTTATATTTTTACAAAAACATTTTTTTTCTGAAGTTGTAGTTTTTTTAAATTAAATATTTGTTTAAGAAAAAAACAGAAAATTTAATGCATGCTATAATTATTTTTTAATTTTATTTTTAATTTATTTGGGCTCAGGATTTAATTTAGATGTATTTTTCTATTTTACAGATTAACATCATATACAACTTCGCCGATGCGCATCGTACTTGTGAGTTTTTAATTATTTGTATTTTATTGTAATGGATTAATATGTCATATGCATAAACGAAATGGCATATATGACGAGTCGACTACATAATTTATTCACATATATTTACCACGTGAACGTCCTTCACACGTGAATCCTGTCTGAGGTAATGTCGTGTAGGCGGGATAATCGATGCCCGGCTCACCCGGCACATTTTTTCTGATGTCGGATAGGTCTGAAAGAGAAAGAAAGAGTGAGAGGTAGCAGATTCATTACCCTACGGCGAATCATGTATGCCATTTAGGAATTATTTTTAAATTGATGAGCTAGCTGCTGGAAATGACTATTTTCAAGATCTATAATCGTTAAAATAACTGCGTATATGATTTGCACAATTTTGACGAGTTCTTTCGTCAGTGTTTCAATTTTTTGTAAATTAAATTAATAATTTTTATTTAATATTATTACTAAAAATATCATTAAAATGTTTATTTAATGTTATTTTTTATTAAAAATGAATCAATATGATTTTATAAAAAAACTGTACATTATTATTATATTAAAGTCCGCAGAAAAATATCTTTACACAGTTAACGATTATATTTAAAATAAACGATAGGAAAGATAAAATCGATAGATCGAATAAAAGGTCGGTAATTTATATAACGTTTATTTAGAAGGTAATAATGCCAGTCCGCTCAATTATAAGAGGAAGAGATAAAGTAAAAAGTGTCATTAAGCACGTGTATCGAGTTACATCGTCGATCAAGGTCGTGGAAAATAGGCCGTGATGATCTCGCGCTGTGTCTGTGATATTTAAGATTTCGCAGTTATCGCGCTCGTGCACAGACAGATAACGTCTCGTAATTTGCTGCATCCATATAATCAGCGAGGTTTTTCATGACCTATCCGCGACGCGATTTTTTTTTTCTATAAACATCGCGGTACCTTTCACGCGAATGACGTTTCGCTCGCTTCGTCGGGGGAAAGAATACGCGAATTAATAGTTATTCCCGCGCACTCATCCACATTTACGGCGGCAGTTAATGAGACATTTCCAATGGTCCTTCTAAGTAACGAGAAGTAATCTTACGGTGGCAAAAAAATTGACTTTGAGTTTCGAGTTATGATTTCCATAAAATCGTCAACCGCGACATCGACAAGCTTCTTGTAATTATCGCCACGTCGCGGCATAGATTTCTCCATTCGTATACGCTATACGCGTAGGTTTAATTGAAAGCTAAACTCGCCACACAAGAATCCGCACGTGAGGGGAACAATTATTACGTAATGCAAAAATGAATAAGGCGGTACCCACCTTAGTCAAAACCTTATTGTTAGTTTGAAACCGTCTGTTAAAACAAAAGAAAGGCATTTAACAATGAAAATGCAAGTATTCGCGTATTCGTTCCCGAGAATGCAAGTAGAAAATGTTATAGAAGTAATGCTTTTCGGAAGTAATATAGAAAGATTATAAGGTACACAAGAACAGGAAAGGAGTATAAGTAAGGCTTTAAAAATTGATTTCTTAAGAGGGTCTTTAAGATTCTTAACATTCTTAAAGTTTGGAATGTTAACAACTTGCCCGCTATACGAGCGTATGGATCGTATTGACCGCCCGCGGTTATTGAATAATGAGAATGCAAGTAGAAATTGCGCTTTTTGAAAGTTGCGAGATTATATAGGAGATATAAGGACAGATGAGAAGTATAGCTTTAAGGCTTTAAAGATTGGTTTTCTTAAGAGATTCTTAAAGTTTAGAGTGTTATAACTCACCCGTTATATGATCGTATGGATCGTACTGACCGCCCGCGGATCCATAGCTGTCGAATGAACTGTCCTCGTTCGGATCGTAGTATTTCCTACAAAGGCGAACGTTAATTAAGTCGCATAATTAAGTCGAAGTCGCATGCGAAAGAAGTCGCTTGGAATAATCAAGAACGTACCTTCCTCTAGTTCCGTCGATCGCTCTGCGCGACAGGAAGCTTCTCCTAGGAATTCCATGTCCGAAACTCCGCTGAATGATGCACAAGACCGCCGTCACGAGACCTGTAAACGAAGGAAAGAATCTATAGATCATTCGCGATAATTTGCTTGAACATTATAGACTGTTCGGCGATCAAAAAACAATGAAAGTAATTAAAATATAAGATTTGCAAAATTTAAGATTCTTTATTTTCATTTATTGTCGATTGTAATTCAGACAATATTACAATCCAGCAAATATTAATTATAATTATAACATTATATATAACATTATATTTACGGGTTATAATATATTTTATAATCCAGAAAAAAGATTTCGATTAAATTCAAGTCAAGTGCTTCTCATTAATGAGCAAGAGATGTTTTTAAATGTTAACAAGCCAATATGAAATCCCAGCTCTTCGATTCATCCTCGTGAAGCGCCGTATAGTCGCGCCGATCACTGAATATCGCTCGATTTCGATTTCGTAATCGGGTAAGCGTGAAAGGTCGCACGGGACGGAACATCTCCACGGTTGTTATACTCTTGAGGCCGCGCTAAAATCGAACTACAATCGATTAGGCAAGGTAGCTCTTAATTCACGATTGACCATGAATGATCATCGTCGTCACGACTCCGGCACGGCTGATCCAGAGTCTCTTCCACGGGGATAAACGTGAGTCTTGCGCGGCCGTCTCCGCTTGATTTATCGCGGCGAAAGAATTCGATTCCCTCTCATAATTCACATTCGCGCTTGTTAGATGATCGATGCTGCATCCTATATCGTATTATCACGACGTTTCTCGCGACTGAGCAAGATCATTCCCTTGAAAAGGCTTGACTCTCAGTCAGGCGCTTTCTGTGACATTTCGAAAAGCGTAGTTCGAGATAATTGTCATCGCATTATATAACGCACAGTTATATAATTACAACATTATTTAATATTATGCAATACAGCACGATAATATTATTCGAGGGCTCTCGGTGATCATTTATAGATGACGCCAGCTAAGTCACGTTTCTCACGTCGCTACAACGTGCAACTTTGTCTTTCCGACGTTTCTCTCAGCATATAAGAACCGATTGGATCGAAACGTTAATTGCTGTTGGCTCGAATAGGATTATTCGCCCGAAATTGCAATTAACTTAAACGATAAAAGATTTAATATATTATTAAAATTTTATCTTTAAAAATTTCTTCAATCGTATAAATAAAGATTTTCTTTACCGAACACACTCGCGCGATTTAGAAGAGGCGCAGTCAAGACGTCAGTTGCAACGCGCAGTTTGATAATGTATGCGATTACAATGTCTGACGTGTAAAGCTGTCGGAGCTCGATGTCGTCCGTAATTTCGTTGTCATTATCCGTAGTCGGCAACACGTGAAATCTTTCGAAAGAACCGACAGGCCGACAATATCCACTTTATAGAGTGATGTTCTTAAACGCACGTGCTCTCTCTCTCTCTTTCTCTCTCTTTCCCTCATTGTGTGGCTGCCATTTTCAATGGCATTAAAAGGAACGCAAAGGCCACGACGATCGAGGAACGAGGCACGACGAAGATCGCGGTGGTGATCGTGATAGAGCGAGTTTATTCGGTGTTACAAATCGCTCGATCTTGCGAGAAATCGCCCGTGAATTATTTTTCGCCTGACTCATCGCGAAACTAACGATCGGGATGATTCGAAAAGATATGCACGCGCGGTGTAACTTCGGCGCGGCCTCCGGGTGAAAATGTCGAGTAACCTGCGCGATTGCGGCGAGAACGAGGCGAGTAATTAGCGAAACGCCTGGCGGCGAAAGTGTCCCCGCGCGAACAACGCGAATTCTTTTAATATACGCGTCGCCGAGACCCAAGACAAATTGGATTTCACGATCCACTTAAAACAGTTGTCCGAGTCAATTTAGCTGACCGCTGACGACTTTTTACGTCCGCAAATAAGATACCTCCAAGATTTAGAGATAAGCTGTCGGATTTAGAATAGACAAAAGCGACAAAGAAGATTTTCTTAATAAAATTTCAGTCAATTTCTACTGTACTTTTGTAAATTTGTATGTTAACTATTTTGAAAATTATTTTTCATTTATATTACGATTTGGTTTTAAGTGAAAATTAATTTTTATTACTTATTTATATCTCTCTTTGCATCTTAATTCGTCGAAATATTAATGAAAGCAAAAATATACAGTTAAGATACGAAATTAAATTTAATTATTAATATCTTTGAAATTTCACTAAAATTCGACATTTTTTTAAGAAAGAGTATTCGGAATCAAGAAATTACCATAAATTCAAGATGGACAAGTTTCATTAAGCAGTCAGCGCATCCATGCAATATTGTATTAGCATCCGTCACGAGCTACACGTCCACGAACATTAAATCAAAGCGCCGACGTGTTTCAGTATAACATGAGCAATAAAATCCTTTACGGTAATTGCTGCAATTTACACGGTGCATTTGTAAATTACACGTGAACGCGCGTCGGATTGTCGAAATCGCGACAAAAAAAAAAGTAACGTAATAATTCCGAGTGCGTAATACTTGGAGGTGTCGCGGAGAGATTTAATTTATGAGCGTGATTCGGTGTTCTTCCTAGAATTGCGTGAACGTCGCCTCGGATTTGCATGAATGGACCGTCGCCCCGCCGCCGCGCCGTCGCGAAACGCAGATACATAAGTGGCGTTTTCGTAATTATAACTGGATCGTGAACGACCTCGCGCTCGTCGATGATTGATTAAACTTGCTACCGAATGCGAAGATGGCTGAAATATCTCTCGTTGCGTAATGTCCACGAGTGTAATATAGACAGAGAGGAAGAGGAGAGTAAAGAGAGATCTTCATAAATTAAATTCTTTATAAATAGTATAGCTCTATGAGAATGCTTTATGACTTTGGTTTTCTCTCACGATTAGCCTTCGGCTTGTAGCCTTAATAGCCAGATAAAATCTATTTGCTGCAATTAACGATATTTTTTTATTGTGCGCGACACCATTGCATGTAAATACTTCAATTTTTAATTGGGTGTTGCGGACCGAAACGTAGACGTCTTTGATTTCTTAATTTTTTAGCTCATTTAAATTTACAATAAGGAATCTTATGCTAAAAAAGCTACTAAACACTCTTACAATCTTACTTAGAGATAAACAGTTTTTCATTTAAACAATTGAAAGGCTTACTGCAACAATGGGCTAACCCTTAGTGTAGAGAAATGAATGTATTTTCCCATCACTTTAATTTATTTTCTCCGTTTTTATACAAAATGTGGGTTAGCTCATTGTTGCAATTTCCTCCTTTAATTTTTTATCTTATTATAATTTTCCTGAATTCAAAAGTTTCTAGATACTCGTGTTCTCAATTAATTTCTAGAACTCTGATTAACACGCACGATTATCTGATAACAGAGAAATCTAATCCGCACTGATCGGAATCATTAATTTATCTATCTTTCAATAATTTTAATGAACGTATATATGAGACGCAATTAATTAAGTACATATATTTAGGAATTAAAACGTAACGTTACTAGTTGATAAAATATTTAATGAAAAAATTTTTTTTATTATTAAACAATAATTCTTTTTCTGTAAAAATTAACTTAACTCGTGAATATGCAAGTAAAAATGTTATGCAAAGAATAAAAACGTTATGTCACAACTTCACATCACACGACCACGATCGACTCGTATAATTTTTTACGAATTCGACCCGTCGTCGATGTCGAGTCATCGAGTTCCCACAGAGATAATTGACTCACGATCTCCGGCGCTCTCGCTTTCGTTATTTCACCGCAGCTGTCCGCTGTGATCGGCACATGGTTAAGAAAAATTATTCAATCCTGATCGATGAAAGCCCGAAGTGCGTCGATTAACATACGTAGACCTGGTTGTCTTACGTGCAACGCCCGCGGCGTTAAACTATAACACGTGATCAAAATAAACGAGAGGTCAAACACTATCACTCCGTGCGATCGACACGTGATAGCCGATCGCGGGGGAGGTACGGGGGAGGAGCGTGATTCGAATCCCAGGATTTAAATTCCCCCACACACGTGGCGGACACTTACACAGAGTATAACGCAGGCTAATTTTCGGCATTTTGTCCGGTGTCGCATGGGACGGATTTGCGGCGGACGGGGATCCCCCCGATTATTATAACGCTCGGTCCACCGTGAAAAGCGGCGGCGGACTGCACGGTGCGCACCTTCGACGCGATCACCTCGACTCGACTCAGCTCCTCACGACTCGGGCTCTTCCTCTCGACCGCGGTCGGCCGTCCGTCGCCGCGTCTCCTCGCCGGCCCGACCGGCGCGGTAGGGATCCCTGGATCTCCGTGGGACCTCTTACCTTTCTTCTCTCGCGGAGGCCCTCTCACCTGCGCCTAACTACGAGCGCGCGCGGTCGGGCCATCCCCCGCGTGGAGGAGGAGGAATTCCGCGCGGGTCGCGCCTCTCGCCGGAATCTCTCCGTGCGTGGAAGATCCCTGCAGCATCCTCGTTTCTCCGCTCAGAAGATGAGTCGGTCGGTCCCCGGTCGGGTGCGGATTAGATTTTCTCTTTGCTTAGGTGATCGAGCATCTATAATTCGTTAAACCAATTAAGAATATGAGTATCTAGAGACTTAAACGTGGACCATTCGATGCTATACTAATCGAGAGTCTATTAGTCGAGCATTTATACATATTAGATGAGTGTTTTGGAAGTTTAAGCAATGATCGTGTCATTTATTTATTGGTCTTCTTACATTTTTCCTTTTAATAACTTCCTTTTAATAGGAAAAGATTCGCGTTTTTTGCAAACTGTTGCATTAATCTAGGTGATGATTGGATACTGTTCCTCTCGAGAAAGGAACGAGCGAAAGAAGAGAAGAGAGGAAGAGAGAGAAGAACATAAATTATTAAACTTCTTGACATATATGTTAGGATTCTTGACTACATTTCGCAAATGCAGTAAGATGAATTATTTACGGCGCGTAGCGCTATTAATTTTCTTTTAAGTATTCATTATTAAACAGGATACATGAATTATGTGATATGTCTGTATTTGAGTTAATTTCTCTTAACTTGTGCAATGCATAATATATTGTATAGTAAGATATATTACTAAATTTTATTACATTTTAAATTTTTTGTCATTTTTCTGAAATTATATCGTGAAGCAATATTATATATCTACCTTATTGTAAAATCACATTTTTATTATTTTAAATCTCAATTTTATTACAATTTATATTTTACATAAAAATAATTTAATCTTTTGTAAAAATATTTCATGAAAATTTGATATTTTTTTTGTATGAGGATTGTACACCAAATGTAACAACTATTTTTCTGTCAAGAGAATTATATGTCAGAGAATCTCTCAGCATTGTTTTCTTTTAGAAAATTATTAGTCTTAAATTCGCTAATTATTTTAGAAATTTTTGTAAAAAAAAATATAATTTTCTATAAGTGTTAAAAATAATTTTCCATTATAAGTATTATTTCAAAATTGAAAGGGGATACACATATAAGAAAGTCTAAAAATTATATGTGTATATAATTTTATTATTTCGAAAGTTAATGCGGGTCAAGATTTCTTTTTCTGTGCCATAAGTGTCCGAATCTCATCTCGAAGAGGCATTTTTTATGCCGGCTGCACATCGAGAACTGGCACGGGTCAAGAAGGTGGGTCCGATAGAAAGTCGTCCACATAAAGTTCGAAAATAGAACGACTTGCGAAACTGCTCCCAAGACGATTGCAAAAATGAGGGAACATAAACAATACTGCGGATGCACATGTTCAATGCTAATGATGCTACGAGTAGTAATGCAGAAACAAGAACACTAAATAATTATATTCGTAACAGAGAATTGGTTGCGCGAGCCCACATCTTTTTTTAATGGGACAAATAAATTGTATACAAAATTATTTTTTGTGGCATTCTTATTTAATATAATCCATTTTGTATACAATATATTTATCTGAATAAAAAATTTTCATTTGGATAAATAAATTATATACAAAAAGGATTATGTTAAATAAAATATATACATACAATATGCCGCAAAGAAAATCTTCAAATTACTCGAAAAATGTGTAAACGAAAAAAACTATCAAGGAAATTGTTTTATTCATGTCTCCGAAAAATTCCCTATATAATAATTCCTACAAATATGATTTTTATAAGACAAGATAACAGAGATGCGTCAGTCAAATGTATCACGTTTAGCTAAGCTCTCTGATTACTGCGAATTGCAAGAAACGCGGAACCGCGTCAATTACTTTGATCCACCGCGTATCCAATGTTATCGTCTAATGACGAGAGCGTATCGCTGATAGGATCGTGACGACGTAATAACAGATTTTCACATCTACGGCAAAGCCGAGAAGAGCTCTTTCCCCCTTATATTCTCTAAACGCCTAGTAATCTTTACCCAATTTGTTCTCACGACCCGTATTCATGCCGGGCCATTTAGATACGATCCGCGACGCGTTCGACGCGGAAGAACGCAGATGCGTGCAGGCCGATTTTTTTCACGACACGTTTCACGGCAGGAACCTATTACACCTGTGCTAATTGCGTCTCTCTAGAAGCGCCTAATCAACGAGCGAGAGTAGAAAGTCATCCTCACTCTCGTGAAACGATGACAAAGTTCAAAACAGATGAAATAGAGTAATTTTATGGAAAAAAAAAAAACACAAGATAATGAATTCGTAGTTTTCTCTTCACAAAAATGATATTTCGAGACGCAGAATTATTTTTATATTTTTTACTTGTTATAAAAAACTATTTCAAATTATTTCATGTAATAATAAAATATAAAATTTATGTTCAAAGCGAAAAAGATTTGATTACAAAATATGGATACATAATGTTGCCTCACAAGATGATTTCAGAACTTAATGATGATCTCTGCGCCTAACGAACGCATCAAATTTTATTTAATTATATTAAAGTCCGCGCGCGTACCATCAGTTACTCCGTTCAATACCGATGTAATTAGAAGTAAATGATTTCGAACTAGATCGCTATTAGTTCAGTGCGCTGCGCGTCTGTGCGCGATGAGCGCTTTCACAAGAGAGCGGAAATTACGAAATTTGCGTTAAACTTGCGGCAAACGCAGCCAGCCTTCGCTTCGACGGGGAAAAGTCTCGTAATGGTATCGATAATTATCGGATCATGCGAAATTAGCCAACCAAGGATCATTACACGTGCTTCTCGATTCATCGCAACTTAAGGTACTTACGCACCGTGAACGCATCTACTCGCGCGATTATAATCTGCGCAAATATTCCACTCTCGCGAGATTGCTCGAATTTCGCCGAATCTCACTTTTTTTGCAATGATAATTTATTCAGGATGACTGACTAAAAAAATGACTATTGAATGCTTATATTTATGGACGTAGAAAGTCAGTTATATTTCTTAAAAAAAAAAAAACGACTTTAAAAATCTAATTTTCATGATTATATTTTACAGATATAAATTAATGTGAAATAAAATTCATTGTTTTATATTACCACACGGAAAGAACAATTTTGTTGGATCCAGATCAGAAAATAATTTTTGTTCAATAATCAAAATAAGTTGGAAAGTCAAATTAAAATGATTGCTAGAATATCAAAACGTTTTATAGCAATGCCAATCATTTTTAACTTTTCAAATTATTTTGATTATTGAACAAAAATTATTCTCAAATCTGTATTCAGCAAAATTTTTAGATCTTTCAACAAAATCGTTCTTTCCGTGCAGCTAAGTGATGTAGTTAGAGCCATCATTTTGACATTTTCGTTTCATTGTTAACTTTGAACGTTACACCCTCTATTGCGATCCAAAAATTGAACGACTCGTAATAATAATAATAATAATAATAATTCGCGATAATATTTCTTAGCACCGGTGCTAAGAACGAACCGAAATGCAAAGGAGAAGTTGCGTGTCCGCGATGATATTTTGCTTTCGGTTTACTTACGATTTCTCAGCGAAGAAAGTCCCCAGCATGCAACTTCCCTTTCATGCCATCCATATATACGCGAGTTGCAAACAGGGTCACGCCGATGAAAGTCAATAATAATACTTGCGCGAGCAAATAATACCGGTGTCTTTCTGAGATTTGCATAAGCAAACGCCATTTCGCGGGGATGCGCTATCAAACGGTTAATAAATTTCATCGTTGACGATCTCAGGCGATCTACCGTCATCCTTGGCGACAGGATTTTTTTCTCATTGCCTTTCGCTTTCTGCCATATTGTTACCTGATGATTTTATAGGATAAGAAAACCGAGTCTCTCTCTTTCTCTCTTTCATAAAGATATTCTAATGTCTTCTGTTTCCCGCGGCTTTAATACATCTCGTCTTGAGTATTATACACGGCTACCCGTCTAACCCCCCACCTCGTCATATTCGACCTCGTCGATTGTGAATTCCGTTAATGTCACGGCACAATGTCCTGCGTGATCTATATCCTTGTATGGACTTTTCTTCGGTTGAACAAAAGACTCGGGGAATACCTCACGTGAATGGTGATTTAGCCTTTCTAATGCCTTTCTTCCTTCTCGCGGCAAGCTTATTCGATTTGCAACGCATGATGATAACAATGAGTCGTTTGAACAACAAGCTTCAACATATCTATGTAATTCAAGTTCGACTAATAAGATTAATTTTAAATATCAGGAGCATTCTATCATTTTAAATGTGTCGATTTTATGTAAAAAAAATAATAATAATAATATTCGTATGGAATTTGAAAGCGAGCGAACATTACAAAGATCATCGAACTTTCCTTTGTGGTCAAAGTTTTCCCTGAGACGTCTCGCGGAAAAATCGCGAGACTCTCCGAGGTGCGGCGAGTCGCTTTGACGCTTTTGTGGACGACTGCGCGTTTCGAATGCTACCGCTGAATAATGTGTACTATCGCGGGAGCAGCAACGTGACGCAAGACAAATCTTTTTGCCGATCTCGTCGTTCGCCATTAGAGCGAACGCAACTCCGCGCGAACGGTACCGTTCTGCATGAAAGCGCGTGTAACGGCGGCGTGGCGTCGTCGTAAATGGTCGCGCCTGGCCCGTTGTTGTGAGCCACCCGACGAAGATGAGAAGCACCAGCGAAAGGGACACGAGAGCGTCGTGCGGCGCGGGCATCACCGCTCGTTCCAGCAGCATCCCGACCGCTGTTACGTGAGAATGCAATGCGTATACCCACTGACCGGCTTCACGTAACGTTCCGCGACCAGGCACGGATTCACGCTCCATTAC